AACAAGAAATGACCTCATATGCAGTGACTTGTCTCTGGAAGATATACATAGAAAGATGATATTGTTATTTATGAATGAAGTGATGAAAAGAATTTAAGCAGGAATTGTACATAAAAAAAACAATGGTAATCCTCTCGCAAAAATTTATTATGAAACTTTTTCATATAATTAAAGTTGTGCACCACAAAACAAAAATATAAGAAAAAATTAAGCAACTTAGCTAAACTAAAATGATCAACTTTTCGAGAATACAATTTAAAAGACTTAGTGTGAAATGTTAATATAATTAAAATTAAATTAAATTTGGCTTGGGAGGTGTAAGTGCTGAGATATCAGATCAATGATCATACTCTTTTCCCTAAGGGGCCATTCACTTATTACGTAACGCTTTTAGGGGGAGGAGGGTCTAAGATTTTGTTACGGTTCAAACAAGGAAATTTTTTTTTCATACAAATTTTGTTACGAGGGGGGGGGGGTCTAAGGAGTCATTTTTTCGCGTTACGTAATAAGTGAACAGCCCCTAATGGATCTTTCCTATGATTTGCCAAGAGACGATATTAACGTTGGTTCAAAATAAATTCAAACTCGTTTCGAATGTTTTTCGAACAAAATTTCGACATTTCGAAAAACATTTTTTATAAAAATTTCAATTTTCGCAATTTTTGACTTAATTTACTTATTATTTAGGAATTGAACCCTTCTATTATATCTTTTACCACTCATTTAATCGTTTAATCGGTGATATATGCAGCAAACAATAGTTTAAAATGCTTTTTTCAAAAAATATTCTAAATTTGACTACTTTTGTAAGGTTTGTGCAAGGATAAAAAGTGGTTAAAAAGCTAGAATAAGAAACTACTGTGGCAGTTTATACAAATTTTAAATGAACTTTTACTTAAATCTGGTATGAAGATGTTAGAAAAACAAAAAAAAACTGGAATTATAGTTTGATTACAGAAGTTTATATCGTAATATAAATGACTAGACCGTTTTGATGATCGATCGATACAATAAATAATGAAAAAAATGTATTCCTTACAAGATTTTCAAGAACTGACGAAAGGGCTTAGTTGGGAAGCAAATTTATTTTTTTAAAAAACATCGATTGTAAATGACTTATAAAAATCTCTGATCGAGTACTAGAAGCTGGTGATGAGATTAAAGTAGAAATAAAAACTGATCCAGATGCGCCGCAATCAACAAACGTGCAAGCAGCTTTTGGAAGATCCCAAAATTTTTGTCCAAATCTGATATCCTCAACATCTCTTACAAACCTCTCAAGCCAGACCCAAAAAATAAATCACATTAGAAATTATTTTATAAAAAAAAATGTAAAAAAATTAGGAAATCGAGTTTAGTCTCGAAGAAAAAAGCCTTTTTAATTTCTAATTGGATCAATAATTGAAATTCAAAAAAAAATATTAATGTCATCTAAAATAAATTTTAAAAAAATTATTAAAAAATAGATGAATTAAAATAAATAAAAACGATTAGATGCATTATGGATGGATGTTCAGCATAAAACGATAGAAATTAATAAAACATTTTCTAAATTCTCTTTTTAAAAAATTAAAATTTAAAACCAGTGTGAAATTGTGAAATTTGGAAAGACTTAAAAACTTTTTACTAAATTTAAGTATTCATAAAATGAAAAAGAAAAATCGTATTAAATGGAGAGACACGTCTCATAGAGATGAAATTAAAAATTAAAATTTTTTACACGATAATAAAAAAATGATGATAATATGGGGTGATATGTTCATGAATGAATGGCAATTATAGGACTTTAAAAAATTGAAAAAAGAATTTTTAAAAAAAATTATGTCAAAAAATGATAACAACGACCATCACCAATGAAGTTAAGAGATGAGCATTAAACGGTCGATAAAGAAAAAAAAAATCAATTTAAAATATTAAAAATAATCATTTTCTACATGAAATTATATCTAATGCAATGGAAGTAAATTTACTTAACTTAAATGCAATTTAATCTCTTTTATATGAAATGGAAATGATGAAAAAAAAATCTCAATTTATAATTAATCTCATAAGTATTTGATGTGACAACAGTTTTAAAAAAAACATAACCAAAAATTATTAATCATGAAAAAAATGTTACTTATTCCATTCAAGTTAAAGTTTTGTGTTACTTGACTTTTTTGTTGTCATTTAATGAAATAGAATTTTGGTTTGCAAGATTTCTGCTATGTATATAAAATTCTTTGTCCTTAATTAAATTGAATTAATGTTACTAGTTCTAATGATTTTCAATAATTGTGATTTGAACATTTTTAACTCACGAATAATACAAGTTTTTCATAGAATCATTTATGTTTCATGCAGTAGAATTTTATATCAAGCGAAATCCCATGGAAAATTAATGTAATTCAATCCTATCATCAAGATCAATAAAATATATTAATATAAATTCAATTCGAATGGACTTCTTACTTGATTTTTCAGATTTTAGTCCACTTGTTGCTTACCTTTGCTTAATAACGAGTTTTTATTATTTGAATGAGCTTTCAACAAGTTTTTTGCAATTTTGCTCAGTTAAAAATTGAGGGAGTAATGCTCGGTATTTTAAAATTTTATAAGTTTAAATTTAGAAAACTAGCAAGTTTTTAAAAATCTTAAAAGAGTTTTAGGTTCCTTATTATTTACCTCATTCAATCTTATTCAGCAAACTATGGCGTGAGCAAATTACACAACAAAATCCAAGCTCAAATCTCAATTTTGTGGATTAAAGCAACCAAAAACAAGATATGGTTTTGATGGTTTTATATAATTACATGATATGATCCATAATTGACCATAATTTGACTCTTAACCTCAAAAAAAATCAAAAAATGCAGACTTACCTGGAATCGGGTTGCAGCTGCATTTGGCAATATTTGTCTTCTACAATTTCAGATTTGTGCTCGATCATCACACATTTATAACGAGTGTTTTGTATTTTCCCGAAAAGCAAAATAACGAAAAACAATTTTTACGAATTTTCAAATTTACGAATGTTCATTTTTACGAAAATTTTTATGGTAAAAACTTATAGGATATAATTTGAATCACAAAAAACCGTTGGATAAAATCGAATATTGAGACACTTAAAAGTAATTTAATCATTTAAATGCGATTAGATATGATATAATAATTATTAAAAGATGAAGGATTAATAGAACTGAAAAAAAGATTTGCATTTATTTAAATGTGAAATATTTTTTCTATAAAAATTTTATTTTGCTATAAAATTTTCTCATGACATTACCCATAAAATAAGAAAAAATTTTACACATTTAAATAAATGCAAATCTTTTTTTCAGTTCTATTAATCCTTCATCTTTTCATAATTATTATATCATATCTATTCGCATTTAAATGATGAAATTAATGTTAATTGTCTTTTAATGTTTGATTTAACCAACGGTTTTTTGTGATTCAAATTATATCCTATAAGTTTTTACCATAAAAATTTTCGTAAAAATGAACATTCGTAAATTTGTAATTCGTAATAACGGTTATTCGTTATTTTGCTTTTCGGAAAAATACAAAACACTCATTTATAACACATTTTTAACAGTCTCACGCACAAAAATCAGGTAACATTTATTTTTCATTCAAGTAATGGATAATAATCTCTTTTTGATCACAATTGTCTGTCTATTGCAGATTCCATTCTATTACCTTGTGCTGTTTACCGACAGCTTCTCAACTGTAACTTAAAAATAACACCGATAGATTTTTTCACACAATTTCACATCTGAAAGTTTTTCTTTTCAAAGCTTTCTTAACGATTTTAAACAATTCAAATAAGCTTTTTATTCAATGGTTGCTCAGTTTTTATTTTAATTTCAAAAATTAATTTAACTGTCAATTTAAATCAGTTGAGAATGATCTTGCAAAACCTTCAAAATTACAGAAATAATCTGAAGAAATATTTATCAAATCATGCCATCAAGCAAACACTGATGATTAATGCAATGATGAACAATCAACATAAAATGAAGTTATTATTCTTAATGCATCCAAAAAAACACGTGACAATGTAGTCATAAAATTTATGCGAATGGAATCAACAAATGAAGAGAAACAAGAACACAACAGACAATACAAATAAATATAAAAAGAAAATAAAAGCAATCATATGATTTTAAAGTTTGAGAGATATACAGCAAGTGCTCATAAATTTAAAGTTTTTACTACAAAATTGTTTGCGGGTTACACAAATACTCACGCAAGAAACTCTCTCATTCTCATATGAATGAAAATTCTTAAGACATTATATAATAATAACAATGCATACAGTTTTAACTTTTATCTCACCACACCTTTAACATTTCCTTCACGCTCCTCCGCTTTACACATCTTTCACATCCAAGATTTAATATGAAAAACAAACTAAAACTATAACAACAAGAAGAGATTGGCATTTGAAGAAATTCTTTTACAGGCTGAAGACGTGTAAATTCCAAAATTGTGAATATTTTGCTTAATATTAAATGGAAGTGGAAATTGGTATAATTGTGACTTAAATAAGAAGATAAAAATATCAAAATAAATCCACAAAATGTGATTAAGTTGCTTGGAATTTCTCTAAAGTTCAATAACACAATTAACTCAAGTCATGTGTGGAATTGATCAACTGTGGCTGAGACAAAAGAAATTTATTTTGTGAATGAATCAAAAAAAAAATATTCTCAAAGTTATTTCCATATGAGGAACAAAAATGAAATCATGTATAGTGAAGAAAACATTGAATATCCATTCATATTAGTCAGCGAATATAGATTGTATGTGAAAATGGATAACTGTTTTTAGTGAACTACTGAATGAAGAAGAAATATAGCTTCGTTATTGAAAATAAAAATAATAATAATATAGCATTTAATAACCTAATTAGCATAATATAGTGAAATTAAATTTTCGCAATCCAAAAATATTTTTAATAGCAAACATTAAGCAAGAAACAATTCAATTAGTGAAACTGTTGAAGCTTGTAAATCATGCAGATTAGGAGACCGGGTACGAAAGGTTATGAGGAGGTTGAAGGCGTTACTATTTCAACACCATCAACACATGAAACTAATGGACATACAGATTCAATAGGGCACAATCATTTAGTACCTGAATTTGAGCTGGCTAGTGTTTCTGTCGTTCCTGATGGTTAGTCATAAAGTACAAAAAAGCATGCTGAAATTACAAGTTTGTATTCATTTCAGATACTTTTACTGTTGCACAAGCAGTCAATGCATTAGGTTTTGGATGGTTTCAAGTGAAATTATCTCTATTTGTTGGTCTTTGTTGGATGAGTGATTCAATGGAAATGACTATCCTTAGTGTTTTAGGACCAGCATTACATTGTGAATGGAACATTAGTCGATATCATCAAGCACTTGTTACGACTGTCGTCTTTCTTGGAATGATGTTAAGTTCAACATTTTGGGGAAGCTTAAGTGATCGCTATGGAAGGAAACCGGTAAAAAAAATCTCATGTTTTGCATGCTCAGTACTCATTTGTTTTCATCTTTCCATCATTTTCAAGGCACTCACACTTTGTGGAATTTTATTATTTCTTTACGGATTATTAAGTGCTGTTGCACCTTCTCTCGGTTGGCTTCTATTGCTTCGTGGTTTAGTTGGTTTTGCAATTGGCTGTGTTCCACAGAGTGTTACACTTTATGCTGAATTTCTACCAACAAAACAGAGAGGCAAATGCGTCGTTCTTCTAGACTGCTTCTGGGCTCTTGGTGCCTGCTTTGAAGTTGTCTTGGCAATGGCTGTCGTTCCAAATCTTGGATGGAGATGGCTACTTAGAATTTCAGCAGCTCCACTCTTTGTTTTTGCTTGTTTAACTCCGGTATGTCAATAAGCTTGTTCACAAGCTACCGCAAATGATTTTATGGTGCTTTGTGAAAATGCTCTTTGTGTGATGTCATTGAAATCATACTTTGATCCAAATCGCAATGAGTTTTACTTCCATTTTAGTGGTTGCCAGAAAGTGCACGTTATCACGTCTCGTGTGGTCAAAATGACAAAGCTTTAACGACATTAGAAAATGTAAGAAATTATGGCAAAGTGAATGAAAAGCTATGCTTAATGGTATGTTTGTACATTTCAGATTGCAAAGGACAACAGAAGGCCAATGCTACTTGGGAGATTGGTGGTTGAAGGGACATCCAATACTCGTGGAAGCATAAAAGCTCTTTTAAGTTCTTCATTGAGGAGAACAACGATTTTGCTGTGGTTCATATGGATGTCATGTGCCTTTTGTTACTATGGATTGGTGCTGATGGTAATTTTTTTGAAATTTGGGGCTCAGTTTTAGGGCTATTTGGGTCACTCTAAGCTAAAATCAAAAATCGATTCCTCATCGCAAGACCAATGGTTAATTGACAATGACTAGGATAGGGTACCGTGGACCTCAAAACCAGCCCCTGAAATTAAAAAGGTGTAAAACTAATAATTTATCTTTTAAATTTGACAGTCCACTGAAATCTTTGGCCGTGATAACAAATCATTGATTCCTGGAAATGAAGATTGTCATGCTTTAGCAACAACTGATTACATGGATCTTCTCTGGACTACTCTTGCTGAGTTTCCAGGTAAGAAATATATTTTGAAAGCATTTTAAGCTTTGCATCCACAGAAACACTTAAATGATCTGAACACATCAACTATCAAAATTAATCTGATTCCAGGAATATTCACCACAATCTACATAATTGAAAGATGTGGACGAAAGAAGACAATGGCTTTTCAATTTCTATTATATGCAGGCTGTGTTCTGTTGATTACTATAACCACTGAGTGAGTATTAACAATTTTTAGACATAACTGAGTCAGTTCCCCATTTACCTTCTAATAAGAATCCTTCCAAATTACAATCTTAATTCTTCGACAATTTCAGACGAGTCTTATTGACTCTCATCCTGTTCCTTGGACGTGGAGTGATTGCTGGTCTATTCCAAGCTGCATATGTGTACACACCAGAGGTATATCCAACGAATCTTCGATCAGTAGGTGTTGGTGGCTGCTCATCACTAGCAAGATTAGGAGCGATGTAAGAACAAGCCTAGATTTATTGTCGATTGACCCTTAATTCGAAACTGCTGTTTAATTTTAAGGTGCACCCCATATGTAGCACAAGTTCTATTTCAAGCATCCGTGGGACAAGCTGTAGCTGTTTATAGTGCATTTGCTTTATGTGCATCAGTAGCGTGCATATTCCTTCCATACGAAACTCGAGGAAATGACCTTTCTCAATAAACACTGTCAAATTTGTAGCAGTTGATAGGATTTATGGCATTCAAGTGGATCATCTGGGTATCAATTACGTAGCATGCTGGTGCCAGTTATGAGAACTATGTTTGTGAAATTATCAACAAACTTTAATAAAAATCTTCAAATACAGATCATCAACTTATTTGACATTAAGTCTATCAAGTGATTCAAACCTATTCTGTTAAAAATGCACAAAATATTCAAACTTTACAAGCTGTTCTTGTGAAAATTGTTATAAAAGTTCTCATTTTTATTGAGATTAAAACTGCAATACTAAATCTACATAAATTCTTTCATTCATTCTCATAAATTATTAAGATTATAATCTATAGCAATTACTTTTATATTTATTTAAGTGGATATGACTGAAGAAATTTATTTAACTTAAAAATTAAAAATAAAACGAGAAAGTTTGAGTTTATTAGAGTACATTCAACTTCTTTTATCCAATTTATCAAAGTCTTTAAATTTCTCATAAATCATTTGAGTACTTTTAGTCCACAGCCATGCTGCTGTTTCGTAGCTTTGTGCTGCGCTTGATGGAACAGCTTCTTCGCAATCAACGAAATATTTCCCAGTAACAGCTTTAAGCTCTGGATCCACCGCTAAGCGAATTTGTGTCTGAGCACCTTCATATGCTGTTTTGTAGAAAGGCTTGAAAATGAGTCTGTAAAGTGGTTTGTACCAAGCATTCATGTGCCTTCCAAGTTTTGAATGAACCAAACCTAGTATGTAGACGTAAATTAATTAAACATCAATGCTAGTATCAATAACATACCCGGATGACAACTATTAACAGTCACATTACTTCCTTCAAGTCTTCGTGCAAGCTCAAGTGCAAACAAATTATTTGCAAGTTTACTTTGTCCATAGACTTTAAGTTTATTGTATGATTTATCGCTCATAAAATCATCGCGATTCATGTCTGAAAATTTATGAGCTGAAGAAGACACAACAACGATGCGGCTTGGTGCACTAGCTTTAAGTAAATCTAATAACAAGTTTGTAAGCAGGAAATGTCCCAAATGATTAACTCCCATTTGCATCTCAAAGCCATTTTCAGTGTAAGATTTTGGACATGCCATTATGCCTGCATTATTTACTAGAATGTTAAGTTGTCTCTCACGTTCGTGAAACTCTTTTGAGCAATGTCTAATTGATCGAATTGAAGCAAGATCTAACTGTATTAATTTCACATTTACAGACTTTGATCTTTCTTTTATTTCATCTAAATCATCTTTACTACGGATGACGTCGCGGCATGCAATGTATATTTTTCCACCACGCTTTGCAAGATCGATTGCTGTTTCTTTTCCAATCCCAGAATTTCCACCTGTAAACAAATAATTTTGATATGAAATATTCAAGAATTTCCAGGGGGAGAATAACTTGATGGGGATATAATTAGATATAAAAATTCGTCTAAAATCGTCAAAATTGTGGTGAGAAATTGTATTAATTAAGTGCTAATTTTTAACCAAATTTTTTTTCTCATTATGTTGTTACCCCCCTGAAGAAATTGTACACGAACCTGTAATGAGAGCGACTTTGCCAGTTATTAAGACATCTTTTTTGAAGATTGGCTTGCTTTTGATGTTTTTACTAAAGGAATTAATGATTTTTTATATTTTTATAAATTCAGCATGAATATTAAGGCAGCACTCACATAATTTTGATTAATTTACTCATGACTCAAAAAGAAGTTGAATTTTAACACCGAAAGTATCACCGTAAAATCTCCACGTACACTGTTGAATGTCTTTCCACAACACTAATATAAACAAACAAACTCTACTCATTGTCTTCTTCTTATTACTTTCTGAGAAAAAGGCAAGAGAAAGAGTAAATTTTGTACTCAAAACGAGGCTCAATGAATCAATTTCGTTCACGTGACTGCATTAACTCAACTTTCTCAGACCGGTTGAACTAAGAATGCAGCAAAAAAATGTAGCAGAATGTAAACAAAACATCGTAAAGCTTTTAAGTCGTGAATTACGTCACATATTTGCATAAGATTTTATTTGCAGACTAGGATTGATGCTCATTGTTGATGGTATTAAGGTTATGTATATCGATGAATATTCTATCAAAATTTTGATAGGAGTGAGGGAAAGGAAGCGAGTGGTATGAAAAGTCGGTCTCATTAAGTTAACTTTGAATGAATCTTAGATTCCACCATGATAAATGACCAATTACTCAAACTTTAAAAGGCTTTAAAGTTAGCGCTTCACAATTCTTTAATACTCCTCGATACCTCTGTCACAACTTCTATCAAATTAAGTACCATTGAGCCATAGAAACCCTTTATACAGAAATTACGCATATCTTTATTAAACAGCCTCTGAATGCAAAGTTATTTAATTACATGCTTATTATTGAGAAAGACTAGTCTTAATATTGAGCAATAAATCATCAATTGCTGCATAAACCTAAAATATTTACCGTCAGCATCTAATTTTAAATAAGACAATCCCCCACTATCGCTACACAAATCCACAAAATGATCAATTAACATGTCTTAAAAAGGAACAGACAAAATATGAATATTATATTCAGCACACACAATGTCTGCACATCTAATTGAATTATAAATTTATCATATTTATTTTAAAATTTCCATACCCGATTCCTAAATGTAAAGTCATTCAGTAAAGAACTACGGACAGAATAAGTCGGTGTACAGACGAATTTTAAAATAAATAAGTATTTTAGTAACTTGACCTTGACTTGTCTTCAGTAACACGAGCGGGAATATTCATTAATGATTGTACGTACCGTGCTTCCTGTGTGATGGATTTCTTTAATAATCTCGATCCAGCAGTGCTAACAGTCATTGTTGTGCTTGTTATCATAGTTGTTGGATGCTTGTGTCTATATCTTATGAGGTAATTTAGATTTGTGGGATGTGATCAATTGTGAGAAATTTGGGAAACAAATGACTAATAGAGTTTGGCACTCAAGGTGTCTTAAAAATCGTCAGTTCTAATTCAGTGAATCATATGTCATTGGATGTCTTTGAATAAAACCAAACTATATCAATTTTGGCGCCAAAACATGATTTACCTGTAGCAACTACTCTTTATAATGCTGTTTAATCATATTCAGTTCCAAAAATTAAAATTATATCAATTTCATCCAACAGAATGTGGTGGCAAGGTGGACAATTCCGAAAAAATACAAGAATCGACGACAAAATTGTAATAATAACCGGTGCCAATGGAGGAATTGGAAAAGAAACAGCAATTGATTTAGCTAAACGTGGTGGAAAAATTTACATTGCATGTCGTGACTTAAAACGTGGACAAGATGCATTGACAGAAATCATAGCAAGAAGTGGAAGTGATAATGTGTACTTTTTGCAGCTAGATCTAGCATCAATGGAATCGATCCGAGAATTTTCAAGAAAATTTCATCAACTAGAAAATAAGTTGCACATTCTAATTAATAATGCTGGAATTATGGCATGTCCAAAAGCATATACAGCTGATGGATTTGAGTTACAATTTGGAACAAATCACTTGGGACATTTTCTACTTACGAATTTATTATTAGACTTACTTAAAGAAGCAGCACCAAGTCGAATAGTTATCGTATCAAGCATAATGCATCGAATTGGATATATTAAGAAAGATGACTTGATGCGAGAGCAACGATACTGGAAGTGGTTTGTTTATGGACAGAGCAAATTGTCAAATATTCTTTTCGCAAGAGAATTGAGTAAAAGATTAGAAGGAAGTGGAGTTACTGCAAATTCATTACATCCAGGTAAGCACAAGAAGAATAACCAAATCTAAAAGTAATAACCAGCTGTTAATTAATTCACAGGTGTAGTTAACACTGAATTATCACGAAATTTGGACCTTTGCTCAAAGTAATAAATTAATAAGTAATTAATTAATTCTTATAGCTAACAAAGTCTACCTTAATTATTTTAGAATATGTTTCAATCCTTGGAAGCTGATTTTCAAAACACCAATCTCAGGTGCTCAGACACAAATAATGCTTGCTGTTGACCCTGAACTTGATCGCATAACCGGAAGATACTTTGCCGATTGTAAGCAAAGAAAACCGTCAAGTGCAGCACGTGATGATGAGACAGCCATGTGGTTATGGAAAGAAAGTGAACGATTAACATGCCTGTCTATGGTTTAATTACAGCTTAATAATATAAGTCGGTGATAAAATTTTAAAATAAAATCAAATCATGCTTAACATGCTTAAATCCCTTATCGAAGGTCATTAACTCAAATAAATTTTTATGTACAGCTATAAAATAATTTTCATTCATTACGATTTAAGTAAAACCTCATACTTATTATCAGGATTCTCAACATAAATAATCAATATGACGTCATTAATTCACCTGCTAAATATAGTCCTTCAAACGCCCGTCATGCGACGGCACCAAATGGAATGAAAAGAGAAAGATATAGACTTTAGCATAGCTTCATTTCACTTTTTCTGAAGTTCGCGCGTAGAAATTTTTCAAAGAAAAGCAGCAGCATGTTTTTATTCGCGCAATTCGAAAGCATTTCTTCTCGATTTTCAGTCAACGTTTGTAGCTTAAAGTAATCAGACATAATAAAGTAATACCAAGCAATTTTTTCTTATGTACACAGACTTACTTTCATAGTGAAAGTTGGAATAAAAATCTTACCAGTGCAGAAAGTGCTTGCTTATAACAGTACCGACAATAATGGAAAAATCATCTTCTTCATCATCATCAAGTCATTCAATATGCATGATAATTTTGATAATTTTGTTGGCACTACTTGGAATTGTGTTGTTTTTGTTCCTACTCAGGTGAGAAGTTAATAACTTTATGAAATCTACGAGTGCTGCGTGCTTAAACATAAAAAAATAAATAGGATCAATAATACATACCCGACCGGTATACATCGAATTGTTGCTTACATGATAGCTAAGTGAATAACAATTGGCAGCTTCGTGATATCTTTTTTCAATGCCAAAAGGCTGAAGCTTAATTCTAAGTGAAGTATGCGATTGGCTGTCGTGTGAAAAACATTTTAATCAATTTTCATGTGCAGATCGGGATAGAAATTTCAAAATATAATTTCCCAAATGTGACTATTTAAGATTCTAAGGGAGATTAAGCTACTCAATTGAGATAAAAGTAATGGTAAAAAATAAAAATAAAATCCTGATATTGCGTGTACAGCCAATTACCATTATGTCGCTGTTCCTTTCTATTCTTTTAGTTAATTTATGTGTCGTCTAGGAAGGAACTCTTCTTAAATTATTGTAATTTACTTGTTAACTTAAGCTTACCCATTTTTACGAATGAATTTGCAAAAATGAGAAATGATGATGTTGTTGGTGTGGCCTTATCGAAATAGCAAAAATTAATATATTCATCAAGATTTGCATTTTTGCGATATAAAAAGACATAAAAAATAAAAATCAAGTTTTTTGGACACAAGGAACTGTAAATACTAGAATTGGTGATCCAATAATCGAGATGAGCTATTAAATGTCTAATCAAACCTACTTACTGGGATTAGCAGGTTTAATAATGCAATTTCGAAAGAGTTCTTTTCTCAAATCGATAGCTGTAAAGCCCTATAAAGTATATTCAAAGTTAAAGTCAAATGATTTTCATTAACCAATTGGACTCTTATGTGCCATTAAAGTTTAACGAGTGTTAAACTCCTAAGAAATAGAAAATTTCTTTGATTTTTCAGTTGAAGAGTTTTCTTAAACTAATCTGTTAATTTTAAAATTAAGTTTAAATTTAACTTTTTGTGAACCTTATGTGTCACCAAACCTTCAAAATGACTGGAAAAGTTTGAAAAAACTATTCTAATACGTCCGAATAAAGCACAACTCATTAAAATTCCACAAAAAATACATAAAATAAATACTCAGCGTACGAAATTCAAGCGTCAAATTCCAAACAAGAACCCCATGCAAAGAAGCATAAAAAAATTTTCACTTAAACACAATAAATTGAATCAAATTTTGAGGTATGAAGAGTTTTTTTTATTGAAACCACAATCAGAGTTTCCATGGTCATAAAAACAGTAGCAACACGTTTTGCATAAACAATGAGGAGTTGACTATACAAACTTTTATATTTTTACAAAAAAAAACTTTTTGTCCTCTACAAAAGAATTTTATCGTAAATTCTGCATGCAATATTACTATAAAGAATAAAGTGGAGTGGCACTAAACACCTTTAAAACATTCTAGGGGTGACTAATAAAGTCTTGTTCTTAAGAGTCATTCATTTATGACGTCACTGATCCTTGGAAGGTAAAGCTTTATGACACTCAATAAGATACTAATGCCAATGAGGAATTCAAAGGAACAATTCTTGCAAATGAATCCTCAATTTTCGAAGTTTTTAAATGTTTATCAAGATTAATTGCAGCACAATGAGTTTTTGATTGAAATTTAATTGTATTAAATTAAAATAATTTATTGCTTTGACACAGAAAATGGATGAGAGGTGGAGATTTCCAAAGTAACGTAAGAATTGATGGTAAAGTTGTGATCATCACTGGTGCTAATACTGGAATTGGGAAAGAAACAGCAATAGACTTAGCAAGACGTGGTGGGAAAATTTACATTGCATGTCGTGATCCTGTGCGAGGCGTTGAAGCCTTAAAAGAAGTTCAAGATAAAAGTGAAAGCACTAATGTGCATTTCTTGCAACTTGATTTAGCACAATTGGAGTCAATCAGGCAATTTTCGAAAAAGTTTCACGCTGCAGAAAATCAGTTACATATACTAATCAACAATGCTGGTGTTATGGCATGTCCAAGATCTCAAACAAGAGATGGATTTGAACTGCAAATTGGAACAAATCATTTGGGTCACTTCCTGTTGACAAACTTAATGATGGATTTATTACAACAATCAGCACCAGCTCGTGTCATCACAGTTTCAAGTCTTTATCATAGATTCGGATATATCAATAAAACTGATTTGAACAGTGAGAAGCATTACTGGCGGTGGTTGGCATATGCTCAAAGTAAGCTTGCAAACATTCTCTTTGCACGTGAATTGGCAAAAAGGTTGGAAGGTAGTGACATTACATCAAATGCTCTTCATCCAGGCTGTGTTAACACCGAATTAACAAGAAACTTGGACTGGTTCTCTAGGCATGTTTATTATTTGGATTAAGTGCTTTTACATTAATTAATTATCTATCATTAATATTCACAGGTTTTTCGTTCGACCTTGCAAAATGTTTATATTCAAATCTCCTTCATCAGGCGCACTCACACAAATACGTCTTGCCATTGATCCTGAATTAGAAAATGTAACAGGAAAATATTTTGCTGACTGTAAAGAGAAAACGCCGTCACAAAGGGCCCTTGATGATGAAACCGCTGAATGGCTATGGCAAACGAGCGAAGAATGGACAGGAATTTCAATTCCTAACACTGTTGCTTAAGGTCTTTTCATTCTACCTCAAGTTTTATGTATCGATAAGATGGGTAATGAGTTTTTAATGGAATGCAAGCTATGCTGTAGAAAAAAAATATATTCTATTAATCATCAATCTGATTGGCATAACTTAGTCAATAGGTCAGAGAGAACTTGTTCACTTGAGATCGGGACCAAGAATAAAATTCATTTAAAATGATATTGCAGTCGACCTTATCAAGCTACACACCAAAAACCAACATCAAAATCGATATCATGAACTGTTTTTAAGTAGGTAACAATATCGATTACCTTGCCAGTGCACAAAACTTATTTTAGTTCTTTTATATTTAAAAATATTCTCTGAATGAATTTAGCTTCTATATTTACATAGAATTGTTTATTGACGATTGTCTCAGTAACAAGTAGTGAATTTATTATCAATAAAAAGTAAAAATAAAGAAAATATTAGCACAAAAATATGAAACTTTCTTATCTGATTCTCTAAATCTATTCTTATCTTGTAAAACTCAAAGCTTAAATTTAGGCTGTGAGATCAATATTCAGATAAAAACTTTAAAAATTCACTCTTATCAGCTTTAACCGAAGCTGGAAATCGACTTAAATAGAATTGGTTTTTTTTTCAGATGGAATGATTTGTATGCAGAAGAAAATCTGTAAATATTATTCGATTTTAATCGACTTGAAATCAATTAAACCTAGTCGACTCTAAGCTCACACATTAATAAGTTACTAACCCTTTTGAGGGCTGTTCACTTATGAAGTCCAGGGGGGGGGGGGGGGGGGTCAGCAAGAAAAGAACAATAGAAATTCCTGGAAATCCATTGTTCTTTTTTGAAAAATGACCTTAGCCTATTCACAATTGAAATTTTTTATCTTAACAAGCAACAGTTACAATTGAAAGCTACAAATTAATGATTAAGATATTTAATATGTCTGTGTAGCTTTCAATATCAATTTTTAATGCATGCGAAAATTTCAATTTACATGCACTAAATGCAGATGAGTGTTGTTGCGAAAAAAAAGAAATGATCAGATATTCAAGGTGCACAATAACTGTGTATTGTGAATATTTAATTGTAATCAGCTGTCATTAAAATCCACACATTCAATCAGTCTGAGGAGAAAATTGAAATTGTGCAGACGCAAAAATGATTTCTGAAATTATTTGGACGTCTTTTGTAGCAACTTTACTTGGGCTATTATCGTTAGGAATTTTTATTGGACTCATTTTACTTTTAAGGTAAGTAAATTCGACTCTTATTAAAATAATAAGAAAAAAGTTTTAGTATGGCAACATTTCTAGGAACTACATGCAAGGAGGTAGTTACAACAAGCCAACTTTGATTGATGGAAAAATTGTAATCATCACTGGCGCTAATGCGGGTATAGGAAAGGAAACGGCAGTTGATTTAGCAAAGCGTGGTGGGAAAATTTACATTGCGTGTCGAAATATTGAGCGCGGTCAAAATGCGTTGATCGAAATCAAAAGAAGAAGTGGAAGTGATAATATCCACTTCTTACAGCTCGATTTAGCATCTATGAAATCTATTCATAAATTTTCTGATGAGTTTCATCAACTGGAAGATAGGCTCGATATTTTAATCAATAATGCTGGTGTTATGGCATGTCCAAAATCATTTACAGAGGATGGATTTGAGATGCATATGGGAACAAATCATTTAGGACATTTTCTACTTACCAACTTACTATTAGACCTCCTTAAAAAGCCCCCACACAGTCGAATAGTGAATGTTGCCAGTTTATTTCACATTGTTGGAAAAATTTCAAAAACAAATTTTTTCGGTGAGAAATTTTACTTTCGTTGGTATGCGTATGCAACTAGTAAGTTGGCAAATATCTTATTTACACGAGAACTGGCAAAACGACTACAAAATACAGGCGTTACTGCAAATTCATTGCATCCTGGTAAGTGTTAACTTAAAGTTCATGTATCAACAAGCCAAGATTACTAGTTTCAGGAAGTAAGATTAATAATTATGACATGTCTGTGATCATATTAGGTTTGAAGCAGTCGCAATAATAGACACATTAAGAATTTTGAATAGATTCGAAGTTTTGCATGTGATTATAGTTGTTTTCTAGCTTCAAGGGCTGGCAGTTCAGTATACTCTAAGACAGTGGTTCTCAAATTACGCTCCTCGGGCCACTGTTGCTCCGTAAGAAAATCCTAGGTGCTTCAGTATGAGCAGCTAATGTTTCATGTCCTAAAAAGTTTAAGAAGCCCTTCCATTGGATATAAACTCCTTCTGTTGCGAACCCTGATAACGAAATTTGAGAAGCTTTGTATAAGGTTTAACCTAGTAGTAGCTCAGAGTAAAGCTTCTAAGCATGCAATGCGAATCCTACTGTATACCAAACATCTGACCCCTTAGAAGTCAGTACATGATTAACAATCCTGCTTTTTTGTATTTGATAGGCGCAATACAAAGTGATTTACTACGTCACGTCAATATAGTAATCAGGTATGTATAGTTTTTAATAATATCAAGGAAATGAAAAGCTGAGCAACATTTTTACGTATAGAATAATCACCGCCCCATTCCGATGGATATTATTCAAAGATATTCCAGCAGGTGCTCAAACGCAAATTCGTCTAGCTGTTGATCCGTCATTAGAAAATGTTACTGGAAAATATTTTGCCGATTGCAAAGAAGCCACAACATTATTTACAGCACGAAATGATAAAACTGCTAAATGGCTTTGGGAAAAAAGCGAGGAACTTACGGGATTGGGAATAAATGATGTTTTAGTATGCGAATAAAGATAAAACTTTTATTCCTTTGTTATTGTAGTCATAGAGATAAACTTGGTAATAATATATAACGGAATTAACATTTGTACTGATTAGGGTAAATGACCTTGAAATTTGCGCAAATTCACACAAGAAAATTTCATTTGCTTCAAGCTCTTTGGAGGATTGAAATTGAGCCCTACTAACGATCTTGAAATGCAGGGAATCATTGATATTTTTGTTTTTCTATGGATATAGGAAGCTCTGCTGTGTCAATGCCAAGAAATTTGACTTTCAAGTTTGAACTTTGAAATTTGCGCAGAAAACTTTGAAATTTGCGCAAAAAAACCTTGAAATTTGCGCACTTTTTTGACAGCAATATTGAAACTTGGAAAAAATATTGTTGAAAACATATCCAATTTTAAAATACATTAATCAAAATATAAGGGAAATGATGATGTTTATTACCAAATTATACGATTAGATTTAGTTTCGTGAAAATCCGTGAAAGCTTAATGTTCAACAGGACAATCTTAGATGTATTAGGAGTAAATTCCAGCGTGGAAAAAAAACACTAGATAAATGTTTTCAAAATAGTTCAAAAGCACATAGTAAATTCAAAAAGGAACAAGCAAAATGATGTATTCATAGTAATTCAATTTTAAAATTTAGTATAAAGTCCTAAAGCTATCTTCATTTTATTGCCTTTTTTGGCCGACCACGTTTCCTGATTACTTGAGTTGATGCTTCATGTTTTTCCTTTTTAATATTCATAATTTTGTCACGCAATTCTTTCTTTTTTTCTCGGTCAATTCATTTTTGAGCTTTCATATCCTTTAATTTTTGGGCAGTTTCCTTCAAATCTTCTGTAGTTTTTGGATCGCCTTATTTGGCTGAATCTATACACCACTTTGCAATTTTGACTTCTTCTTCAGTTGTAATGACCTTTATTTTTCACTGCGCAAATTTCAAAATTTTTCGTAAAATCTGCGCAAATTTCAAGGTTCAAAAACAAGCCATTTTAAAAATGAATTTTAAAGCAGTTCCAGGTATCATTTTGAATTGGAACCATTTGAAAAATGTTAAGCAATGTCAGATCTACATTTTCTGATACCAAAATTTAATCTATACCAATGCATGCATCTCAAAATCAAAATGTAAAGAAATTTAAGTTTTGTATGGGAGTTTTTGGTAATAAATTATTAAGCTTTCTAGTGCCTTAAGACCACTAAAAATTATGAAAATACATCTGTGCTTGTGTTCTTCAGTCATTTCCCATTGATCGTCTGAATAGAAGTGCAATTTTCAGATATAATTTTAAAATTTCCGTTTTCATACGAGTGCGCAAATTTCAAGGTTGCGCAAATTTCAAAGTCATTTACCCTAAATATAATTCAATCCAAGCATTTCTTCACTCTTCTTCCACAGCCAACAAGAAAGCTCGGTGTTGACTGAATCACCTGAAATTTCAATTTGCTTACAATTTCCAAAGAATTTTCCAGTTACATTTTGAAGTTCTGTATCAACTGCTGCATAAATTGTAGTCTGTGAACCTTCTTTGGGTGTATTGATGAATTGTGTGCCTATCCATTCTAAAACTTGCTGAATCTTCCCAACACCTGTAATTCGACTAATTATGTCACTGATGACAAATCCTGGAAATGATACATTTACAGTTACTTCTGTGCCGATGAGTCTTTTTGATAATTCCTGAGCATATAAGTGTGTAGCTAGTTTACTTTGGCAATACGCTTTAAATCTGCTATATGAATTTTCCCACATTATGTCATCTTTATTGATTGAACCAAATCTGTAAGCTATGCTGCTTTCCAGAATTATTCGACTTGGTGATTTCTTCAAAAGATCTAGTAACAAGTTAATCAACAAAAATGGACCTAGCAGATTTTCTCCCAAATGTCTTTCAAATCCTTCGACTGTTTTTGATTTACCACAAAAACTCACTTCATGATTACTGATGAGGATGTCAAGCTTATTCTCAAGTTCATGGAATTTCTTTGAAAATTCTCTTATTGAATCCAAAGAAGCCAAGTTCAGTTCTAATAAATGAACATCATCTTTGCCAGTCTTCTTTTTAATTTCTTTAAGAGCTTCTTCTCCTTTAACTATGTCTTGGCATGCAATATACATTTTTCCATCGCGTTTTGCCAAGTCTATTGCAGTTGCTTTACCAACTTCTGAATCTACTCCTGTAATTATGATTGTTTTCCCGTTAATTTTAGTCTTACTTTCGTACAAATCTCCTTTCATGAAGTATCTGATGGCAAAGGGGTTTTAAGAGCTGGTTTAATTTGAATTTTAAAAAACTAGAAGTTTATATTAAGGTTTCGGAACTGATAAAAATGATTTAAAATAATCAAATTTGTTTAAAAATGAAATAGACGTGATTTATCAGTTCGGCATTCTTAATCTTTACAATTAAAGTTTTACCTGAATAAATACAACAATCCAGAAGCTCCAAAAGTCGGAACAATCCAATATAATATTTTCAGCCACAGAGGAGTTCCTTCTTCATTTGAATCGCCCATAATCACAACAAATATTTTAAGATTATCAAGGTCAAGATGAGAACCAGTTATCCACTTGTAATATGTAAAAAATATTTGGTCACGTTTATAACAACCGACTGTTTGGACACAACTGATCTCCAAAATTAAAGATTTTACTCTCTTTATTTATCAAAGAAAGAATATTTGGAGAGCACTGACCGAAGCTTAATATATTGAATATTTTTTTTGCAAAATTATTATTTTATTATTGTTCTGATAGAATCTTGAGAATATTAATTTATTCTAATCAGTTAAGGAGCTTGCAGTCCAACAAGTTCTAAACTTTTAGCATACAACCATTTCGCATTATCTTCATCACGAGCGGCTCTTGAAGGAAGCTTTTCACTACAGTGACAAAAGTACTTTCCTGTTGTGCTTTCTAAATCAGGGTCAACAGCCAGTTTGATTTGCGTCTGTGCACCTTCTAGTGGAGTCTTCATGAATATTGAGAATATTGGACGGATGAAGTATTTTCGGACATTTTCGTTGAGATGTCTGCCTAGTTCTGTCTGCACAACACCTAAATTATAGAAAAACATCGATATTAATTTTTTGTTCGCAGAGATTTATATTTTTTAATACCAGGATGACAGCTATTAACTGTGACTGAACTTCCTTCTAACTTTTTCGATAGTTCCTTAGCAAACAAAATATTTGCAAGCTTGCTTTGAGAATATGCTTTATATTTACTGTATGATTTCTCACTCATCAAGTCATCACGATTAATATTACTGAACTTATGTCCTTCAGATGACACAATGACTATCCTACTTGGTCCACCAGCTTTTAGTAGTCCAAGCAATAGATTGGTAAGTAAGAAATGTCCTAGATGATTAACTCCTAGTTGCATTTCAAATCCATCTGAAGTGTATGATTTTGGACATGCCATGACACCAGCATTATTGATGAGAATGTTTAGTTGATGCTCAAGCTGATGAAATCTGGAAAAGATAATTAATTTTGAATCCAATGAATGACATCCATCCTAATAAGGCTAGAACTGATTCTACTCCTTCAAATAATTATCACAATTACTAAGATTGACTTAAAAAATTATTTCAGTCTTTTCATTGATCATACCTATTTGAAAACTGTCGAATTGACTCAAGAGATCCCAGATCCAATTGCATGTAGAAAACATTGTCATTTCCACTTATTGACTTAATTTCATCAACAGCATCTTCACCACGTTTTGCATCACGGCATGCAATGTAAATTTTTGCACCACGCTTTGCCAAATCTATTGCTGTTTCTTTCCCAATTCCAGTATTAGCTCCAGTTATAATGACAATCTTACCAGTAATTTTTGTAGTTTTATTAAATTTGCCTCGACGAGCGTACAATCTTTAAATGGACAAAGATAACTGTAAAATCAATGGAATTTTTTATTGTTTTAATGCCTCACTTCAAAAGATAAAGTAAAATGAATACTCCAATTAAAACGGACAGAACTATTATAAGAATCAACCACCAATCCATCGTTTAAAATAGATTTTCAATAAATAATTTTGACAATAAACTGTGATAATCCCCAAACAATAGTTTTAAGTCGGAACTCCACAAAATTTTTCCGAAAATGATACAATTTACGTTGATTACTTTACAACCTGTAAGACTCTTCAATACTTGAAAAGTATGTGTATATTATGCTACAATGAGAATATAATAAATATAATGACGATTAGTTGTGCACATGTGTTGGAAGTAGCTGTTTATTACGAATGTAGTAAGTGTGCAACCACGTGTACTAAAGTAGTAATGGTAAAAAAATTGATCAAATATTTGTTATTGATTTAAAATAATGTCTATTCAAAATATAATAAATAGATAGGGTAAACCATGTTAAAATTTGTGCAATGTTGAAATTTGTGCGCTCAAATAAAAAAGAAATAAGCCCAAATAAGCCATTTAAACCAAAATTTTGTTTGCAGTTCTTTGTAAAACAGTTGTACAAACATTTCTACATCATTTTAGACAGTCTCGAAGCTTGGAGCAGCTTTAAATTTTAAAAATTCAAAATCCCATACAAAATTGTGATTTTCATATTTTTAAATATTTGAACATAACCAGTGCTGCTTGTAATCAAATCACAGTTTAAATATAAAATTTGATAATTGCTATAATGTTTCAAAAAAATTCAAGTTATAAAAATCATTGGAAGTGCTTTAAAAATTGATTTTAAGATTTCTTGATTGTAAATGTTAAAATTTGTGCGAATTTTTTTTACAAATTTTGAAATTTGTGTGCTTTTTGTCGTAGAAAGCGATGGGAATTTTTGTCAACAACAAATATTATTTACGTATGAAATTCATGTTTTTATATTATTTTACGAAGAATAGCATAAATGGAACTACTGAAAGTCAAAAACTGATAACAGCTGATAAAAATTAAAAACGTGGATCATTTAAAATAAAAATAAAACAAAAATGCAAGACTTCAAGAATATCCATACAGATCCATATATTCAAAAAGTATATCCTGCTAAGTGTCCAATTTCAGAATTTTAAATAAATACATTTTTATTTGCTAGATTTCATCTTTTTATTACTAAAACTCTATGCTGCATAAAATTTACACAAAAATGGAGGAAATGCTGTTTTAATGGATGTTCCTTTGACGGTTGTAAACTCAGCTAGCTCAAACTGAGTTAAATCTTGAATCTTGTATTATTTCTTGAGGAAAAGGTTTGAAACAATTCAGCTTTATATTCTTAATTTCATTTAAAGTTTATTCAAAGCAGTTCCTTCAGCAAAATATCAATTTCTGTTCCAAAAATATGTAAATAATATGTTTGTTTACATTTAAGAATTGCAATTGTGTCAAAGATTGCTATTAAAAAAACGCACAAATTTCAACATTTTTTCGCACAAATTTTAAAATTTTCCGCACAAATTTCAACATTTGATCGAAAATGTCAAAAATCTCTTCCCATAGGCAGCATAACCTTGAAAAAACATTATTAGCTGAAAATTCCCACAATTATTGATCTTTTGAGCCCATTAGCAAATTTACATGATCAGTCATTAGCAATTTATTTGCAAATCAAATCTTCATGTGCAAAAACACACAAATTTCAACATGGTTTACCCTAACAATAAAATGTTATCTATTGACTGGATCAAGCTTACATAGTCTTATACTCTAGTTTTCAATTATTTCCTAGCTTGCAGGCGCATAGCCAAGAGGGTCTTGTCCCCCTATTAAGCGTTTTAAGCGGCTCTTGCTGTGGTTCAAAACGTTTAAGGGGGAGACAAGACCCTCCTGGCTATGCGTCTACTAGCTTGTATTTATTCAGTTCTTACGCTATGTTCCATTTGAATAAGGTTTGTAATTATCCCAAAAAACCAATCAAAGTGAAACAAGTTCAGAGCTTTTCTCCCATAGCCATTTAGCAATATCAATATCTTTAGCTTCACTTGATGGTTCTTTTTCCTGACAATCTTCAAAATATTTTCCAGTAACAGATTCCAAGTTAGGATCGACTGCAAGCTTTATATAATTTTGTGCACCTTCTAGAGGTGTTTTTGCAAATAAACTATAGATTTTCGAAACTATATCACTTATGATCTCTTGAGTTATATCTGTGTTGACAAGACCAGGATGACAGCAGTTAACTGTGACTTTTGTATTTTTCAGCCTTCTCGAAAGTTCTTTTGTAAATAAAAGGATTGCCAATTTACTCATTCCATAAGCTCTATACTTAGAGAAATATTGTTTGCTCATCAAATCTTTATGTTTAAGGCTACAAACTCTATGAATGACTGATGAAACTAGAATTATTCTACTTGGTTCAGATGCTTTCAACATGTCAAGCAATAAATTTGTAAGAAGGAAATGACCCAAATAATTAACACCCATATGCATCTCAAAGCCATCTTCAGTCAGTTGTTTTTTGGGAGTCAATACCCCAGCATTATTAATAAGGATGTCAAGTTTAGTCTCAAGTTTATAAAACTTTTCAGAGAATTTCCTGATTGATTTCAACGATGCTAAATCAAGTTCAAGAAAATGAATATTGTTACTTCCACTTTCGTTTCTGATGTCTTCAAATGCCTGTTCATTATTTGGTTCATCTCTGCATGCGATATAGATCTTTCCACCACGCTTTGCTAAATCAATTGCACAAGCTTTTCCGATTCCAGTGCTACCGCCGGTGATTATGACAACTTTATTATCTATCAGTGTTGACTTATTATATCTTCCATGACGCAAGATTAATCTACAGAATTAACATGTTTAAATAATTAAAAGAATCTTTTGGAACTGAATTTTTGGATTTACTTCAATAAAAGTAGAATGCTAAATAATCCTATCAGTAGATATGCTATAACTTGAGAAAACATTATCTTCTCACTTATATTTAAAATTTAAAATAAATTTTAGACTTCTGAATCGATTGAACTTTCATTTTAGACTGAATTTTGATTGCAAATATTATGAGTAAGTATATGTTCAACCAAAGACTAAATCGACAATATCTATAGATAAGTGAAATTTATCATTTTCGCCATACAGATGCTTATGATAAGTAAAAATTAAGTTCCACGCAAAAAGCATGTAAGTTATTAGTTTCGGTCAGAACAAACTACTCCAGCCTAAAAGACTCATTTTCAAAAATCTCAAAGGGTATCAAAATGTGTGTATTAGAAGGCTGGATTTTTCTGTATATAAACTTTTATAATTGGACATCATTTTAATTTTTATGAATTTATTAAAGGGTTTTAGATCACTCCCTGTGATTGCAAAAGATTGACTCCGATTGACTACAATGCATAAAAGTTCTCAAAAAGGATAAACCATCGTGCTTCAAAACAAATTTAATTGCCTTATTAGGAATCAAAACTGAAAATTCATTTGAAAAATTAATTGACATTTGATTTAATAGAGCTAAATTAATATCAGTTATCCTTATTAAATTTCACCAGTTCAGAGCTGTTCTCCCATAACCATTTAGCAGTCTCAATATCTTTGGTCTCACGCGATGGTTCTTTTTCTTGACAATCCTCAAAATATTTTCCAGTAACAGATTTCAAATCAGGATCAACTGCAAGCTTAATATGATTTGTGCTTCTGCCATTGGACTCATTCCAATAAGTTTATCAGAAGGAAATGTCCCAAATAAATAACAACCATGTGCAGCTTAAAGTTCTTCTTTCAAGTTGCTGGAGTTTTTCAGAGAATTTCCTGATTGATTTCAACGATGCTAAATCAAGTTCCAGAAAATGAATATTTTCACTTCCACTTTTGCGTCTGATAGACCAATAGTAGTGATAGTTTTGCCAGACCAATTACGCAAGGCCTTCCCTATTCCAGTACTGCCACCCGTAATTATAACAATTTTATCATTTATAAGTATTGGCTTAGTTTATCTCCCAGTAAGAAAGAGTAATCTACAGAATTAATATTTATGGAATTATAATTAATTTATACAATTACTTACTTCATTAAATATAGTGATAGAAAATACTATCAAGCACAGTGAATACCAAGATTTATCCCGAACATTCAGAGCTTGCTCAAAAACGTGAGCATATAAGTGAGTCTACTCAAAAGTTATACTCATGCAAGCTCATTCAACTGAGCATGCTCAGGAGTTCATTACGAATGTACTCATTTTATTTTTTTGCAAAAAAATTATAAGCTCACGTGAGTACATTCAACAAGTGTACTCATGAGAATATTAAGAACATACCTATTTGACTATACTCGTATGAGTGCACTTTCTGAACATTCTCATAAGAATAATAAGAACATACTCATGGGTATTTACCTTTATGAATACACTTCTTAAACATACTCATGAGCATCTAATGAACATAATTATATCTATATGATTTTTCAAAAACGTCGACATACTTAAAATCAAACTTAGAATACATTTTTATGTAAGTCGACATTTTCAAAAATGTATTCTAAGCATCTAAACATAAAAATGTATTCTAAGTTTGATTTTAAGTTGGTCGACATTTTTGAAAATGTCGACTTCCATAAAAATGTATTCTAAGTTTGATTTTAAGTTGGTCGACATTTTTCATAATATGTTCTCACGATCGTGCTCTGATCAACTCAAATATTTCATAAAAATATAGTTCAATTAAGCAGCGTATCAAACTTCAAAGAACTAAGTTTGCCTGTAATAATATAATAATTTAAGTATGTGTTTTGCCATATAAAAATTATTATATATATTTACAGAAAATTGCTACAAGGAAAAGTGTGAGGTGACAGAAGTTAAGCAACGCAATAGGTTTTTCTACAAGGATGGGTGACCGGTTTTTAAAACTTCCTTCTTAAGTATTTGAGATAAAATGTTAATAATAAATTCTAAACATTCCAAAATTATTCACAGAATTATCCTTATAAAACTCAAATTTAACTCAGTGAGCTTAATGCATGTCACATAGGAATGTGCTCACTGAGCATACTCAAAAAGGTCCGTGATCGTATCACTTTAATGTATGAAATGAGCACATTCTCACAAAAGTTTGCAAGCTCACAAATAATGTGCTCTGAGTATACTCATTGTAAGTTCGGGTAACATAATAAGTTCTATTTTAGCCGGTAAAAAAAAACATTTGCACTTCTGATGTGATTGAACTTTAAAATTATACTGAAAACATTGTAGTATGTGTATAGTAAGTTAAAAGTTCAGTATTTAGAAAAATGAACATTGTCACTTCAATAAAATGATATTTATAGGTTTGCGACTGCTTTAAAAGTTGATGAACACAAAATTGAATCGTGCAACGTTATTAGAAATATTTTTAAGTTTGTGGAGGAGGAATTGTTTTTATTTGTATAAATTTAAAGAATTTTGTTCGCAAAGTTACAGTAAAATAGTGAATCATTTTCGCAAGATGTACTTAATTGACATACAAGGTTCAAATCAATTTAAAACTATCATTCAAGCTTCACCAACTTAGAACTTTTTTCCCACAGCCATTTTGCAATTTCAGGATTCTTTGCATCAGCTGTAGATAGCTTCTTTTCTTCACAATCACTAAAATACTTGCCAGTCACAGTTTCTAATTCTGGATCAACTGCAAGTCTAATTTGAGTTTGTGCTCCTTCCATTGGCGTTTTTCCAAATATCATTACAATACTTGTAAAAATATCCATCAAAGAGAAACTCCAACTTTTCAATATTTCAGTGCGAACAACTCCGGGATGACATGAATTAGCTGTGACTTTTGTTCCTTGAAGTCTTTTGGATAGTTCATTAGTAAACAGTATATTCGCTATTTTGCTCATTGCATATGCTTTGTATGCAGCGTAATTCCGATCAAACATTAAATCTTCTTTATTAAAATTATACATCTCATAAATACCCGACGAAACGACAACGATCCTACTTGGTGCAGCAGTCTTTAATAAATCCAGCAATAAATTTGTCAACAAGAAATGTCCAAGATGATTAACGCCCATGTGCATTTCAAATCCATTTTCAGTATATGATTTTTTATGAGCAAATAATCCAGCATTGTTGATCAAAATGTCAAGTTTACTTTCAAGCTTATGAAAATTCTTTGAAAATTCACGAATCGACTTTAAAGATGCAAGGTCCAATTGAAGAAAATAGACTTTGTCACTTCCACTCTCTTTTCTGATATCTGTTTGAGCATTTTCACCACGTATCTTATCTCTGCATGCAATGTAGACCTTTCCACCTCGTTTTGCTAAATCAATTGCACATGCTTTGCCAATTCCAGTATTCCCTCCAGTAATTATTACAATCTTATTTGTAATTGATGTATTCTTGGTGTATTGCTTCCCTCTTGCATAACGTCTTCGTGCAAATAAATTCTAATGATTAATAAATGCTACGAAAATAGGTAAGGAATCTTCAAACTTACTTCAGTAAAAAGTAAATGACTACAGCTCCAATCCCTAAATAGGTACAAGTGCAAAAAATACACGACATTTTGTACAAATCTTTTATGCTTCTATTCTGATTAAATTTTTATTTCTCAATGAAATGCGATTTTCGTAAATATTTATGACTTTTATTCCAAAGGCACGCATACAGTCAAAATTATCAGATAAAATTGATTTTATAGCAATTGAACATTCTTCATTTCTCCCTAAATTAATGACGAGCTTGTGCATCAATGGGGGGGGGGGGGTTAAAATCATCTAAAATAATTAAAATTAAAAACGTACTTTAGCGTACGACCACCATGGTAAAGAGTTAATACTAATAAAAGTAATGAAATGTTCAAAATCATGAAGATAAACTGGCAGTTATCTCGACAAACACCAAGTCATTATTTTATTAAATAGCGTTTTTAAGCAAAACTACTTCAGAACTTTTATCCCACAGCCATTTTGCATTCTCAGTATTTTTGCCCTCACTCGTAAGTTCTTCTTCCTTACAATCAGCAAAATATTTTCCAGTTACAGTTTCCAAATCAGGATCAACTGCCAGTCTAATTTGAGTCTGTGCTCCTTCTACAGGAGTTTTTATAAAGCCACCTAGAATTCTTTTTATTAACCCCATGAATGGAAGGTTCCAACCCTGTATTATATCAGTTTGAACAGCACCTGGATGGCAGCAGTTAACTGTGACATTTGTTCCATCAAGCTTCTTAGACAGTTCAGTTGTGAAGAGAATATTGGCTATTTTACTAAGTCCATAGCCTCTAAAGGATGAAAATTTTCGATCACACATCCAGTCATCCTTATCAAATTTAAGCATTTTGTAAATGACTGACGTTACCACAACGATTCTACTTGGAGCTGCAGCTTTTAATAAATCAAGCAATAAGTTTGTTAGAAGGAAATGTCCTAGATGATTGACTCCCATATGCATCTCAAATCCATTGTCAGTGTATGACTTTTTATTCATAAGTAATCCTGCATTATTTATCAAAATATCCAGTTTAGTCTCTAGTTTATGAAATTTGTCAGAAAATTCGCGAACTGATTTCAAAGATGCTAGATCTAGCTGTAAGAAATAGACTCTGTCACTTCCACTTTCCTTTCTTATATCATTCAATGCAGTTTCGCCACGAGTTTTGTCTCTGCATGCGATATAGATTTTTCCACCACGCTTTGCCAAGTCAATTGCACATGCTTTTCCGATTCCTGCATTTGCGCCAGTAATTATAACGACTTTATTGTCTATCAATGTAAGCTTCGTGTAGTTGCCTTGCACTATGTAACGTCTTAGAGAACAATTTTTAGATTTTTTACTCATTGCATCAACAATAATTATGACTTTATATTTACTTGAGTAGATAAAGAGCTGTGAATATCACTAGTCCCAAAATCGCAAAACAACAGCAACAAGCCATATTTCTACTATGTTGATTGAAGTCTGTATTTACATTAAAAGCTATTTTGGAAGTGTTTTAAGAATATTTTTACACATACAAGTTGGAAACCTAATCCTAATGAAATCTTTTGCGATAAAAATAGCGACAAGTACTTTGTCGTATTCTCTATGTATTGATCAGTTATGATTATGAAGAAATAGATCTTTGAACTCATGTTTTTGTGTTTTTGAAGGTCATGTGTGTTTACATTTTCTTATATTGTTTGTATGACTTCATCACACTCATTTGTACTGATCATTGTTGCCTCTAAGCACAAGATGCACTAAGATAGTGTAATTTAGGATATCGAATTAATGAAGACGAACGTTGCAGTACGAAGATTAAACCACATGTTGAGAATTAATAAAAATTTAACGAAACGTTTCCGTGCCAAGTATGGCTCTTTTAAAAAATTTATTTAAATTACAATAGAAGTAACAGTTAACAAATTCCTGTGATTTAATAAGGCATTAGCTTTTGAAGCGAAAAATAAAACAATTAACGAAAAAATATTTATAGCCATTTTAGAATGAATACACCCGCTAGAACCTTACAAGTTCAGCACTTTTCTTCCACAACCATTCAGCAGTTTCATCATCCTTAGCAGCAGTAGATGGCTCGTGTTCTTCACAATCATAAAAGTATTTTCCAGTAACAGTTTCTAAATCAGGATCAATTGCGAGACGAATTTGGGTCTGAGCACCTTCAACAGGAGTTTTCAAAAATGTTTTAAAGATCGTGTACATGATGAATTGAACGATTCCGGGGAAGTGACGAGCAAGTTCAGTCGTAACAACACCTTAAATGGAAGTTAATGACGTAAATTTGATAAGATATAGGAATAAAAAAATGATGAGTAATACCTGGATGACAGCTATTGACTATAACTTTAGTGCCTTGAAGGTCTTTAGCTAGTTTTCTGGTGAACAAGACGTTAGCTAATTTACTCTGTGAATATGCCTTTAATGGTGAATAACTTCTATCCAGCATTAAGTCATCGCGATAAATTTCTCCTCTTTCATGAGCTCTCGATGAAACATTTACAATTCTACTTGGTGCTGACGATTTCAAAAGATCCAACAAAAGATTTGTAAGAAGGAAATGACCTAAATGATTTGTTCCAATCTGTGTTTCAAATTTATCTTCAGTAAATGATTTTGGACATGCCATAACTCCAGCATTATTAATCAAAATGTCAAGTTTACTTTCAAGTTGATGAAACTTATTCGAGAATTCACGAATGGATTTTAAGGAAGCAAGATCCAGTTGAAGGAAATAGACTTTGTCACTTCCACTTTCACGTCGGATATCAACCAATGCACTTTCACCACGAGTTTTGTTTCTACATGCTATATATATCTTTCCACCACGCTTTGCTAAGTCTATGGCTGTTTCTTTTCCAATACCGGTATTTGCGCCGGTGATTATGACAATTTTGTTATCGATTAATGTTGGTTTAGTATATTCTCCCTGACGAATCCATTTCCTTAATTAAAGTTTAACCATTAATTAAAATTGAAATCTTTAATTATACAATAAATGACTTACTTAAGCAGATACAGAAGAACTGCAATTGCAATGAATGCATAAATATAAGTGCAACAGCAACAATCCATTATTGAAAGATATATACGACTTTTCTAATCGAAATTCAAGAATGAAATGATTTTATGTGCTGTGTACTTTTACTTGATCGATCTTTGGAACAATAACAAATTTAATTACAGATAAACAGGCACAAAATGTAATGCACCGTTAAATTAGGACTATTGAAGCACACTATTTCTGTACTCTTAATTGATGGATATGAACAAAAAATGAAAATTAATTCATACTACACATCAACTGGCCAATGATCAATTAAAGCACAAAGAATAGAAGAGTTAAGTTAACAAAAATTAAGAACAGAATTAACTGACAAAAATTTTTTGAATCTCTAGTAACATTAGATGTCACGGTTAATCGAATTTTTCTTTTCCGATTTTCGATCTTCACATTGACAAGAAGATTTATTAAATAATGTAAGTTTTAAGAGGATATCCAAAGAATATTGTAGTGTAATTAAGTGCTGTAATACAGAATAAAACACTAAACATATAATCATTGCTCTTCATTAAGAACTCGCTGTAAAATTGTACAAAATATATAAGTGCGAAAAAATATCAAGCGACAAGCTTGAATTTGCCTTTAATTAACTTAATTCCAACATCTTTTAAGTCACTTACCGTTCGTTATCAGCTATTTTCCTAGTTTGCAACTTAAAGATCCTTAGAAACAGCTTAATTACACAACTTTAATAGCCCGACTCAATTTCTAGGTTAAAACTAGAATAAAATTATTAAAAAGAATTTTTACGGATGAGATTCGAACTCATACTTCGATCAGAAAAACAATAGAAATATTTGATGATTTTTCATGAAAATCATATACTTAACAAGTTGAGTTTTCCAAATTCTTTAGGATGTGAGTCTGAAAGTTTTTTGGTGATTGCCATTGAAGGAAGTGACTATATCCAATGATTTTAATTTCTTGGCATTGATATGTTAATACTTACATTTATACACCAAAACTCCCATACCTTGACAGACTTATTCATTTGCTAGCTTGACAATGCAACAAAAATATTATCGTTTAAAAACCACAATTAATAGCTGATAATTCTTATTTCTCACACTCATTTTAGAAACTTAAACGATGCCTGAATTAACAGAGATTAAAGCTGATAATCTAGCAGCAGCAGCAGAAACAGAACAACCAAAATTGACAGACGATGTTAGTGACACTGAGTCTGATGATTCAATTCCAGAATTAGAGGATGCAACAACTGAAGGTGCACAACTTGGATCAGGTGGAGCTGGCGGAATTCCTGACATTGTCTCAAAAGCCAAACAATCACGTGGTGAAAAGAAGGCACGTAAGATCATGTCCAAATTGGGATTAAAGCCAGTCGTTGGAGTTACAAGAGTGACTATTCGTAAATCTAAGAATATACTCTTTGTCATCAACAACCCAGATGTCTATAAGAATCCACACAGTGACACCTACATCATTTTCGGTGAAGCTAAAATTGAAGATTTATCTCAACAAGCTCAAGTTGCAGCTGCTGAGAAGTTTAAGGCACCAGAAACAACACCAGCTGCTACAGATTCTAGTTCCGCTAATGTTGTTGCTCCAATTGCTGAAGAAGAGGAAGAGGAAGTCGATGAAACTGGAGTTGACGAAAAAGATATTGATCTTGTGGTATCGCAAGCAAATGTCCCTCGAGCTAAAGCTATCCGCGCCCTTAAGAATAATAATAATGATATAGTAAATGCCATCATGGAACTGACGATGTAATGAATGATGTTCCTTACCCACAAACACATAATTTTCACTTTAATTTTTTTGGGTTTTACTTCTCTTTCAATAAATTATTAAGGGCATAAAAGAAATTGTATTCTTGAATATATGAACAGAAAGTCAAGCTCCTCCTCATAATTCTGAAATAAATAACAGAACCGAACACATTACAGTTTGAGTACGGACTTAAATGTCTTTTATTTGATTTTAAATGATTATCACATTTTACAGAGTTCAGAATGTTAAGACTTAATTGAATTAAGATTATTTTTGACTTTTTTTCAGGTTCTTCTCTATTACTTAAAAACTAAAACTATTGTTTAAAAGTATTGAACTTGATACTTTTTGTTTCTGACTAGTAAATATCCTTAAAAAATCTATTAAGTTTCAACTTTAATGAGTAAAGTATGAATTTAAGCAAAACGAAGATTCATTGGCAAATTTGTGACGGAAGGAGTTACGTCCATATCAATTCCGTTCCCAGCTGTAGCACTAACAATATATTCATTTACTGGATCAGCCATTTTTGGCTGTTCCGAAAATGATACTTTATGGTTTGATTTGTCACGTTTAGCTATTAAGAAATCCAAAAGTTCTGTGGCTGCAATCTTTACTTGAATGTCCTGATTCGAACTACTAGCATCATTAACCTTTCTTTCAAGAGGCTGTGTAGCAGGAGCAGCTGTCTTCATACATTCAGTCATTCCTTTAAAGAAGCCATTCCAATTCATATTGATATTAACGGGCGAACTTCCATTACCATTTTGACGATTACGGAAGTTATTGTTAAAGTTGCGATTATTATTATTATAATTATTACTGTTGGAACCGCCATTATTATTGCCGACTCGAATGATTTTAGTGACTGGACGGTTCCGAACAATTCCAACAATACTTTCAGCATTATCTTCACTGTCATTGCTTGGATCGTCATTAAACTTGTACGTAAAATTGCCCTTTTCAATGAAAATTCCAGCTTTTGGACCATTAGTGCTATTCTTCTTGTAATTCTTTTGGACACGACCATTTAAGACCTTATCACTACTTGGATTCTCAACACGCCATTGCTGTGACTTCATTTTTATTCCCATAGCACTTTCAACAGTCGTAAAGTGCTTCTTAATGCGACAACATTCTGGATGTTCCATATTTTGGATTTCCTTTGCAAAACGAATTGATGAATTTTCAGCTTGGATGTTGTTCTGTTCACTTATATCCATCATTTCCATGTCACTGTTAATCTTGTCATAGCTCTCACGATAATTACTTCCACTACTAATTTCATCTAAATCTTCGTCATCTGATTGATTTCCTGAATCATCATTGAACCGATCAAATTTGGATATACCGCATTTTAAGCCTCTTTTGGATGCATTTTTGCGTGCTATTTCATCCAGTGAAGCATTTAATTCATTTTCATCGATATTTCGCTCCTTTTTTCGAAGATTCATTAAAGACAATGATCCATCGATGTTCTTCTTCTTGATGTAATCTTCCAGGGTGAAGCAGTCTGCAGACATGTCTATAAAAGTTAATTAAAGAATGTCAAATTAGGTTATTTTGTAAACAAAAATTTATTCTCTCTTTTCAAAACGATAAATAGACTTATTTTGATGCACGCGATGATAGAATCAACTTTATTAACTCACCTAGGGTACTTTTGGTGATGAATAAAGTTAATTAAGATACTTTTTTGACAAAAATTGCGTGACAAAATGTCTAAACAATGAAATTAATATAACGTATTTATTTTTTCTGAAAATTTAAAGTAATTCTGGACAAAAACTACAGAAATAAAAAAGTTCAAAAAATAAATGGCAGTTTGTTGTGATTGTGAAATTAAAGAGGTTTGTTTTTCGATAAGTTAACTGTTGTGTAAAAAAATCATAAAAAATAGTAAAAGTCCAATTTTAGTAAAATTAACATAATTAAACGATTATAAAGGATGTGGTAATAAGAAAAACCTTTTGGATAAGTTGTTTTATGTGAGTGATATAATTAACAGCATTTAAAGTGATGAAAACCATTAATTTTCAAATTTTTCAAAAAAATGGAGATTTTTTTGTCTTTGAAAATTAAAGGAAAAATCATAAAATAATAAAAACAATGAAAACGAGAGTAAGTCACACATATTTAAGATCCAGTGTATTGAATTAATAAGAATCTTAAGGAAAACTAGTGACTGGATGTTGAATTAAATGATATATAGCAAATAATAAAGTGCCACATAAAGGGAAAAAATATTTAAATGAACATAAAAAAACCAGATTTACTATTACTAGTTATTGTGCATTCTCTCTTTAATAATTATTAGCTACATATTCAGCGCAATTCCTTCCATATAGAAATTCATCATGAGTGAAAGATTCTCGTGTGCTACAATTTATTTACAATATAAAACCTTAATTTCTCAGCGAACGTTCGACGATCCCATTTTCTAAAAATAAACAAGACTTACTAGACATTTAACAAGCAGCCACAGAACATATAAATATATATGGGAACGATATCTTTCACGTATTTATTTACATTTTATAAAAGAAATTGTTATCGATATACACAATATTTAAAGTGATTTTCCTGTCAATCTATTAAGAATGGATTCAATGAATGCGAAACAGCATTCAAAATAAGGCGGAAACTTTCTCAATCATGCTATTCAATGTCTCTTGACGATCTTTAAATTAAAATGCACACAAAGTGACTTCATTCATTCATTCAGCTCGGTCGTTGATTATGCAGAAAAAATAAATTTTCCAAAACGGCAGTTCTGAATGTGTACAAGTAAGAACTAAGAAAATGTAGAAAAGCACAGTAGTAATAATAATAATAATAATGAGAAACAGAGAGGAGAAAATGTGAACATTTAATGTAAGCTTACTTGCTTCCAATTGCCTCATTTACAAGGCGTACTTGAATTAGACATAAATTGGGCAATTTCTTAAAGACGAGGCTCTATATCTCACGTTATAATTCACACAAGTATCGTTACTTCCTCTAATAATGAACGATAGTATAAACAACATCCATTCATGAATAAACAGCACGAATGATGAGCATTTAGTGACACATAAAAAATATAGATATTTCAATTTAATCAAATATAATTAAGATTGAACTGAATTAATGAGTCAGCGGCAGTCAGATGAATGTAAATTGAACAAAAAAACATACAGTAGCACACAACTCGTGTATTGTAAGCTATCGCAAAATAAAAAGCAGTCATTGCAAAACACATCTTTAATTGAAGATTCAAAAATATTTCTCTCAATTAAGCTATATCTTTTAAATGTCACAGTTCAACGATTTGACTTTTTCAATTGTTTATTTCGTCTCGATGCCTCGAAGAGGGAACTAAAGTGTGCAGAAATACATTGTTGGGTATCGAAAGCTGTCATTTGAGATGCAAAAATTTTTTGTTTATTGTCAGCAAGAAAATTCATTTCGGTTGATTAGAACGTGATATCTTGAAAATTGTTGAGGCGGCAATCTCTGGGGTGCTTTAAGAATATCAAATTTCGTTGTGACTTCAAAATTTGTTACGAATGATGTTTGGCTGCTTGAAAGTCTGTCGAACTTGATGAAATCTTCACTGTGACATTTAATGATGGAAGTTTTGAGATAATAGTTGATTGGCTGTCACTAGGTGTCGCAAAACTTTCAAATCTGTCCCTTTTCGTTGCTAAGCATTAGACAGAGCTACTTGAAGCTATACAAGTCATTAGGAACCTTAATCTGCTTAAATGTAAGGAAAAGATTTTATATTAAATAACAAATAAAAGTGAGCTTATAGACACTACATTATACTTATCTAGGAAGCTATTGACTTATTACATAAGACAAATTACTCAATTTCAAACCCCACTCCGATTTTGGTACAAATTGTCTTTGATACTCTAAATAAAAGTTTTTAGTCATCATAATTTTTATGAAATAAATTCCCTCAAATTTATTTCTTGTGCTTATTTTTGGCCTGTTCAATTATTCAAAGGTAATTTCCTTAAGCTCTCACAATTCACCTTTATCTCCAACATTAAAATTAAGCTAAAAATATGAATATAATAAAATTCAATTAAGACATCCACATTGGTGACCACAGGTCAATTTGAAGACCTTCACGTGTATCGGCATGCTACTAAACTTCCTACAGCAAGCTTTACTAATCTTTTACCACGAATAGTGCTCAATAACACCCCGTATTTACTTAAGGTATATGCTTAAGTGTGAAGAATATATTGGCCAAGGATAAATAAGACACAGATACAGCTTTAGAATCGAGAATTATTCGATGACTATTTTGAGATAATTTCAAGAAATGCTGCCAAATGATCCAAAACATACACGAAAAAATAAAATGTAAAGTCAATATTGGCATAATAGACTCGATAGTCTGCACTAAATGTTAATTTTATTCAATATTTGTGACTCATTTGCTCAAGATCTATGGCTGAAAAAGATAAAAATGAGTTAAATGTTTGATACAGAAGTGTAGTCAGGAGATAGTAAAGGTATTTGGGGCACAATGCATGTCAGAATATTACTAGCACTTAACCTTGGTACACCTCTGTCAGAATATTCTTAAATTAGTCATGACGTTCATAGGGTTTGTAGAAAACAGCTGTTTTTTTAAAAAAAAAATGTTTTCGGTTTTTGTTTTTTAAAAACAGCTGTTTTCCTGTTTTTCTAGAATTCAAAATAAACTGAGATATCCTAAGTGTTTCTCTAAGATAATGAAACTTTTTGGTGGTTATAAGCAGTTAAGCATACATTAGAGAGCTAAGCTAAAATATAATGGAATATAAAAATTCAAAGAAAAATATTTAAACTTTTAAGAAACATTGCATTGTTGCATTGCAAAAGTTCCATAAACTCTAATATTTTATTTGAAATATTCAAAAAAATCTTTTTAAATAAAAAAATATCTTGCAAAATTGTTGATTATATTTTTGAACTTTAGTAAATGCTACAAAAGGTTCGATTGCAAAATTGGAAATGATTAATCATAAATTTGATAATGATTTCAAACCTATTAAACATCCAAAAAAATTTAAAATAGTAAATACATTTCAATTTGGAATTCTAGAAAACTATATTAAATTCTTCAAAAAGTTAAGAAAATTTTTTTGTAAAAATGAAAAGCAGGAAACAGATCTGTTTTTGAGACCTGTTTTCTTTTAACAGATTTTTGTCGAAAAACAGCTGTTTTTCTGTTTTTTGTTAACAGGTTCCCCAAACCCTAGACGTTCAATAATGTTATCCATAATTTGCTTAAATCAACAGCAATGGATTGTATAAGACTTTTTAAATAGTGACAAATGTCTTTTCGTGTTTACAGTCAAATAAAAACTAGTTTGAAATGGAATTTATTGCAAGGTGCATTAAAAATCATTTACAGCCTTTCTCGTTCCTTTACGAAGCCTCAAATAACTGCAATTAATTCGCGTGGGAATTTAGACGCGCGTGTCTGAAAGTCATTAGAGGAAAAAAGAAAGGAAAATTTATAAAAACGAAAAAAAAGGTTCACTTTTGTTGTTATTTCATGGAAATTTTTATTTTTATACTATTTGTTTATTCATCGCAGTTTTAATTTCTTCTTTTTTATTTGTGCACAATTTTTTAACACTTTATTTAAAGTGAATTACATGTTTATAATAATTGCTGGTAATGATTAACGTGTTTGTGTTTATGAGAATTTTCATTCATTAGAGTTTTTGCTGTTTATTGTAGAAATTGATGGGCAGTATGGCTTAGAAGTTAAAAATTCAATTTTAATTCTTTAAAACCTTTAATGTTATGAAAAGTAAAAAAGGACAAATTCTGCAATTTTGTATGTAATCACATATACTTAACAAGCACTAGCAGAAATCAGTTTAGTATATTACATTTTTTTTTCCTTAGTGAACTCAAGTCGGTTTCAAGTCGACTAAAGTGAACATGAAAAAATCAACTCGGTTAAAAGTCGACTAGAGTGAACACGAAAAAAATGAGTTCACTCGAGCTGACTTGAAACCGATTGAAATTTTAGTGAAGTGAAGTGAGTTTGCTTCATCGACTTCGACCCCTGGTTTAAACTTCAAATAGCTGCAGTCAATATCACACAAATTCGATGATTTCTTTTACTTCCTTTGTATCTGAACATGTTTAAAAATGTTTTAAAAAAGTCTCGTTCCTCAATTTCATTGTTTATCGTCCATAATAAAAGTTGTGCTCATCTTGAAACCACATGAAGGGAGAGAATGTTATCTAAAATGTTTTCCTTGCTGTTCTCCGGTACACACTTGCTTATAGAAGAGCACACAATTCACTTAAAAAGCCTTCACACTGCGCAATGTCAGTGATTTCTTTTTTTGGGAGCAATAAAAAAATTGAGAAAATTTCTTTTTTCATGTTTTTCACTTTTTTTTTATTTTCCCTTCTTTTGCTAAATAATTTTCATATTTTTCTCTCTTTTTATAATGTAACGAATAAGACGAAGCAAAGAATAGAAAGAAAATTAATCGTGCTTTGTTGTCAGAACTTAAATTTCGATACCACAAAAACTTAACATAAGAATTGCTTAGATTGCGATTGGAAAAAGCGCATTTTCCAGGCACAAGACAGTTCTATAAATCTGGATATTTATCCCCGAAAAATTACAATCAAATTATTTTTAAATTTTAACATCTTGCAAATATTTCAATTTAACCGTTGAAATATATTTGAAACTTAACGTTCAAAAAATATTTGAATATTTGAAAGTTCAAAAAATTGAGTGCCTATTAAAATAACGAATTTTAAAATTTCGAAACTTCATTTTTACGAACTCTCATTTTTACGACCATATCATTTTTACGAAAAATTATTTTTTCGACTTTTTTATAAATTTCAAATTCTAAAATGTCGTTAATTTCATCACGTGTTCTCTTCAATAATAAATCTTCAAAAAAAAGATTAAGGGCGATTCCATGAGTGAATTTTTTTTTCTCAACTCAATTTTTTGTAAATATTTCCTTAATTAACTTCATTTAACGCCATATTTAAGATTTATTTTATTTATTATTATGGTATTTATGTATTTTAGTGCATAATCTTTTAGTTAAATCTGTCTGACAAAAGATATTTTAAAAAAACCAAACTTAATCGGTCAACTTTACAAAAAATTGATTTTTAAATTTTTATCAATATTTCTTTGAATATCCATTGTTGTGTTACAAATCTATGATAAACACACGTGAAATCGCCTGTGCTTTATAACTTTATCTTATTTGTATGTCTTACTACTGTAATTAAGGAGAAAATTGGGGAAAACACCACTTAATCGGTCAACTTTCAACCGATTATTGCAAAACATATTACATATTTTTGTCAAAATGCAGCATAATTAAGACGGTTAAATGCTAATAACACATGAATTGATGAATAATAAGTCTTATTTAGTGAAAAGATATGTTGAAATATGTATATTTAAGCAGAAAAAGCTAAAAAGCTTAAGAGAACAAATGTTTTTAAATGTATGGAATTAAAACATATTTTTTATTCAATATTACATTTCATGGACTATATGTGTATGTTTAAAGGAGTAACAAACACAATTAAGCTCTTAAATCATTTTTGACTCCTGCAATAGCCTTTGATTTTTCAACTCGTGGCACGGATTTTCAACGGTTCAGGATTGATTTAATGGAATTCTCTGTCTTTTCAAAACCTGGTATTCTATGCTTTTGTGGCTTTCCAGCCTTTGTGGCTTTCCAGGTTTTGAAAAGACAGAATTCCATTAAATCAATCCTGAACCGTTGAAAATCCGTGCCACGAGTTGAAAAATCAAAGGCTATTGCAGGAGTCAAAAATGATTTAAGAGCTTAATTGTGTTTGTTACTCCTTTAAACATACACATATAGTCCATGAAATGTAATATTGAATAAAAAATATGTTTTAATTCCATACATTTAAAAACATTTGTTCTCTTAATCTTTTTTTTGAAGATTTATTATTGAAGAGAACACGTGATGAAATTAACGACATTTTAGAATTTGAAATTTATAAAAAAGTCGAAAAAATATTTTTTCGTAAAAATGATATGGTCGTAAAAATGAGAGTTCGTAAAAATGAAGTTTCGAAATTTTAAAATTCGTTATTTTAATAGGCACTCCAAAAAATTCTTATTCTAGTTCAAAAATTTTTAAAAATAGAAATAACGGAAATTTTCTTAAATTCACTTCCAACAAGCTATAAAGACATAATAACTAGCCAGTTGTTCTACAAAACACGTTAAAAAGGAAACAGAGAGAAAATTTTCATTTGTTGTTGCTCATTTGCGGGAGTTCTGGGGCGATATTCATTTCATTTATGAATTTTTCTCTTCTTTCCGTGTTTTATTTTTAAAATGCGGCACTTTTTTGTTCGAGTGTAGGTTATACTATTAGTAATAATTTCTAAATTGTAATGTGAAAAATCGGATAAGGTTTTTTTTCTTGTTTATCCCAGTAAACTTGCCTATAAAAAAGTGATTAATTTGCTCTCTATTTTTGTAAGAAAAGAATCTGAGTTGAGTAATCGATTGAGCTGCCTGATTTGAGTTCTAATTCTGTTCCATTATCAAGAATTTAATTAAAATAGGATTGAAGTGAAAGTTCTGTGAGTGACAACAAAGAAAACGAGATTTTTTTTTTCTCTTTGTTTAAGTTAAAAATAGTTTAAAAATAAAAATTCAGACAGCGGCAAAAGACTTGTTCTTGACTATATTTAGTTTAAATTGAGACACATTTCAGACGTGTCATGCCGTTGTCACAGAAATAAGATATCAAGTAAGAAAATATAAGGTTCTTTACGTAAGTTGGTCAATATTTTTGATGAACGACTTGTGTGCACAACAGAAAAAGAATCTATACATGATAAAAATCTCTAGTATTCTCATTAATTTTGACTTTTTTTGTGTGTATTCTATTCCATAGGTGTCATGGTCATTATTAAAAGAGATGATTACATTTCTTTTCTGAATTCAACGGGAGTTAAAATGCCAACAACTCCTATTTCTAATGAACTTTCAATTCAATCGACTGGAAATAATGGAAATTTGGTTCCAACGAATAATAACAATGATACGAGCATAAATAATGCAAATATAGCGACTATCAAGGCAAATTCAAATTATCAGGAGAAATTCCAGCAATTTCAACAATTTACTCAGCAACAGAATCAGCAAAATAATCAAAATGTGACGAATCAAGTGCAGCCATTCGCTAAAGCTCAACTTATTTGTCGACCGAATTCTCATCCTTTTCCCGTAAGTATTCGGCACATCTATTAAATATTATTTTTCTGTGTTTATGGCACACGCAGTAAAATCCAATTTATTCACATTCGCAGAGTCGTACTCTTCTTCTTGAACCCAATAAACCTGTAAAAATCGGTCGAGCAATAGCACGCACAAAGGTCAGCGATAATAATGCCATTTTTGATTGTAAGGTACTGTCGAGGAATCATGCTGAATTGTGGTACGATGATGGGAAATTTTTCCTTAAAGTAAGCTACAATATCCTTATTTCTTAATCTTTGATTGTGCTAATTGAGTTATAATTGCAGGACACGGGAAGCAGCAACGGTACCTTTATCAACAATCAACGTCTTAGTCAGACATGCAGTCAATCCGAGCCATTCGAAGTTAGCAGTGGAGACATTGTTCAATTTGGCGTTGATGTCATGGAAAATTCACGTAAAGAGACTCACGGTTGTATTGTTGCAACATTAAAATTATATTTACCGGATGGACGTGAAACGAAAGCCAGTCAATCGACTCTTGTCGGTGCTACAAATACAAAAATTCCACAAGTTGACTTGTATAGATTAAATCAGTACATTCAGGAAGCTGTTCAACGTGAACAAAATCTTGAGACTAAGCTCCTCAACATACAAAAGAAAATTGATTTAGTAAGGTAGGCAAATTGATTGAAGACTGGAAAAATCCGTTAAATGATGATTTGAAAGCTGTTGTATGGTTTTCAAACATTTCTAAAACATTTGTATGGATCCAAAATTATTTGAATTTCTTGAAGCCGTTATTCGAAAACCATACAAATGTTTGAAAATCTTGACACTCAAAATATGAAATTGAATACAAAGTTAATTTAATCAATAATGTTTTGTTACAGAAAATCATCTTCAGCAAGTTGGCAAGCCCTTGTAGATGAGGACCGTCTTCTGAGCCGAATAGATATGCTTGAGAAAAAGTTACTTTATTTCAGTAAGCCCTTATCGGAAGATAAATTACGTGAAGAAATTATGAAATTACAAAATGAGAAAATGCAATATCAAACAAGTGCAAAGCAGGCACTTAAAAAAGTATATAATGAGCGAATGGAAGCTATTCAAAAATTGAGTGTCGTTGAGAAGTCACTTTACAGTACCGAAGATGAATGTTCACTGATCAAAGATCAATTAACGAAATCGCAGTCACAATCACGTGAGACTAACGAGCGATTAGATGCAATGCAGAATCAAATGGATAAAAGGGTGGCAGATTACGAGGAAAAAATATTCAAAAAGGAAAATGAATTGAAGAATCTAAATTCGGAGTTGAATGAGCTACAAGAAAAGTTAACAAGTTATAAGGTAACAAATTTACTTAATAAAGCTTAAATAATTATACTTATTGTGATATTGATTTATTTGTAGCGTCAAAACGATATTGGAGATTATGAGAGTTCCCAGCTGGTAACAAATTGGCTGCTAAAGTCAGACATCAAGGACATTGATGGATCTGAAGATATCATTAAAGCAATCTGCAGTGAAGAAGTGAGTTGACACTTTCAACGTATTTTGGGATTTTGAAAACATTTGTATGGTTTTCAAACATTTCTCCAAACTGTTAAATGGTTTTCAGTCATTTGAATTTCGAATTTCCGCTAAAATAATAATTATTTAAAAATTTTGTCTTTGCAGGATGATGAGGTGAATTTAGCTAAAAGCTTAGAAACAAATTGTTCTCGCGTTTATAGTAAGATGCTCACGCTCGAAAAAGAATTAAATCTATTATTTGCTGCGACCAATAATAATAACATTATCAATAATAACACTAATAACGATAGTAAAAGTAAGTCATTCACTTTAGACTTTGAGCTTGACACAATTAATTAACTACGATTTAATTGTATTTCCTTTATTAGACGGATCTGATAATAGCGTAATATTAAATCAACACAGTTCAACAGAAACATTGTTGGATCTACAGCCAACAACAGATAATAATGTGCCATCAGATGAAGAGAATAAAAAGGACGAGGAGACAATTTTAATGTCCTCGACCGATGATGAAAGTGCACAAAAGAGTTTGCAGTGTGATGACAATCAAAATAACATGAACAATCGAATGTTATTGATGCAAAATTTTAATATAAGTGCAGCTGGTGAAAGAATTCTAGTTAATTTGAAGCAATTGTTGGCGTTGTATGCAAAGCTAAAACGTCAATTGATGGAGTTTACGGAAGTGAAAGCAAATGAGCAGAGCTCATCTAAAGCCAAATGTGATGAAATGTCATCTCAGGTGAGCATGCGAACTTGTGTTTTTTTTTGTCGTCAAAGAAGCTTGTTTGCAATTTATTGAAAAAATACGTTAATTTAAAATGTGAAAAAATGATTTTTTTGGTTAAGTTCTTTGAGTTTTTAAAAGCCGTTATTTTTCAAATCTGAAATTTCCGTTATAATTCAATGCTGTTATGCTGTATAATCATTGCATTTAAAAGTAATTACGAGTACATGTCTGAAATGTTTAATTAACGAATTTCTTTCTTTTTATCCATAACAGCTTATGTCAGTAAAGACAGAATTAGAATCACGTCCGTCGCAAGAGGACTTCGAAGAAAAAATTCAACAATGCAATGCACTTCGTACTGAATTAACGAGTCTAACGGAACAAATGGCATGCAATGAGAAGTTAGTCGAACAATTACAAGTTGAGTTGACTCAAGAACGCGAACTTCATAAAGTAATGATGGAGAAATGCTTAACAGAGTGTGGCATTCAAACAGACGAAATTGAAAGTACAAAAGAAGTGCCAGCTGTAAAAATAGATGCAAGTCATGATGTTATGAGTCCAGTATTATCAGAATCTCCATCAATTGATACGATTAAATCCGAAAAAGAACCTGAAATTGAGAAAAGTCGAGATGATGTTGATAAATCTTCACAAACTTCCTTTACCGACCTAACCGAAATGCCTCAACAAACACAACAATTACTAGAAGAGCCAACAACATCATCAATCGACATTAAAATTGAGAAGGAGGAAGCAGATGACGATGAGCTCAACAATCATCCCAAAGTATTATACGAAGACGAATTAATTGTATTTAAGGAGAAATGTAAATCATTGACGGACGATAATATCCGTTTGCAGCGCGAAATTGGGGAACTTCGCATAACAATGACTCAATTTCATTCGAATTGGCTCCACAATTTTATGCTAAAATATCTTGTGCCAGTTCTTATCATTTTCATCGCATACTTCTTCTTTCTGTTGAAATAATAATACACTGCATTTCCTACAGATGTTTCTGTTCTGTTCATCTTCTTCTAATTTTGTAAATTTTTGCGTCAAATTTATTTACTCTTATTTCTCTAATTTAGGCTAATAAGAGATTATTTTAAAAAAAATTGAGATAAATCGTAAGACTCGTAATGTTCTCGTTCTAGTTTTTGAAAATATGCAAAATATCGGATTTAACGGATTGATGAAATTAGAAAATCGATCAATTTTTGAAAAGAAATTGACTGTCATTTTTTTTGAATTTGAAAAGTCCATTTTTTGCAAATTCTTAATTTTCCTTATTTCACCGTGCTTTATAATTTTTTCAAACTTTTACGGTATAGTGGTTAATATAATTATTATTTTATTTTGTTGTTGATTTTATTTTTAAAAAAATAGAGAAATGAATGTTCTCAAAAAGTTATTCGAAAAGGAATCAAGTGGTAACTGAACGTATATAAATGTCGGAAAGAGACTCCAAAAACAAAATTGTTTGAATAAGTTTTTAGTTTGCATAACGAAAAAAAATAAAAATGAAAATTGTAGCCAATTATTAGTTTAATAAGCTTTAGTTCCATTAATTTTTACTTTCGATGGATTTTTTATTTTAAAACAAGCAAACTTACAAATTCGATTAAACATATTATAATTGAAAACAAAAAAAAACTATATCTATTGCATTTAGGAATCAAAAAAATCCATTTTTATGATGAAACTTTTTTGAGATAACAAAAAAATCACTTTCGAGATAAAAACTATATTTAAAGGAAAAACAAAAAAAAATTGTTCAAATTCACATTGAAGGATAAAAAAATTAAAATAATAATAAAAAAAAAGTATCGCGAAAATTGCTTATCGTTATTAAATAACACAATTTACACAGCAAAAAAAAAAGAATGAAAAAAACTTGTAATTAATATAAAATTGTATAATAAAAAAAAACGGAAAATTTACTGTAAAATATACAATTTTTGGTCTTTTTAAACTATTTCAATTAGTTTGGAACCCACAGATTGTGACTAGGTTTGGCAATCAATTTCCAGTAATTGTTTTTTAAGTTCAGAAATTTGATTCAAGAGAAAATTATAGTTTTTGAGTCCTTTTTTGCTGTTCTTGTAATGGCAAATTGGATTAAGTGATCAAAGTATCAATCCCTGAACGTCCACAATGACAATTAAACATTCGTCATATTGAAAATCATCTGCGAATGTTGAGAATTAAGCAACTGTCGTTTAATATTTAAATTGTATTTACAACTATTTTCAATTGTTGTTTTCTTGATTAGTTGTTAACCCCTTCATAGAATAACAATTTTTGAACTCCGAACAAAAAACATCATTATATTACATAATATAAAAAGCTGCAAACATAAAGGGCCGTTCACTTATGACGTCCAAGGGGGGGGGGGGGGGGGGGGGGGGTGGGGTCAGCAAGAAAAGAACAATAGAAATTCCTGGAAATCCTTTGTTCTTTTTTGAAAAATGACCGTTAATTTCGGATGTCATAGGTGAACGGACCCATAGCTGCTAGCTAGATCTCTAAAAAGCCCACTCTTAGAGCCCCCCAAACCCCCTATAACATTTCAATAATTCCAAAAAGACACAAGTGAACGACCTCGACGCTGACATAGTTTATTCCCTTAATTGGTAAAATCCACAGACTATTCACATCAAATATTTATCTCCCGTCCACAACCCTTTCCGCTTCTCAGATGAACATAATTCTCATTGTTATTATTTATTCAGGATGCTATGCTGGTAAAGCTGTCAGTCACGTTTCCTCGAATCCTTGCACATTCAGGACTGAAACATATTTTATCTCTTTTTTTGGAATGCTTAATTTTATTATTCATACTTTGTTGCTATAAATTTGTTAATTTTATAGTTTGACTACTTATTTTTTTCATAGAACTTCACATTTCACGCGAAAATGATGTTACACAAAAATACAGAACATTGACTACACAAATTAGACTAAAATAGACTCGGATGAATGAACGTAGACTCGAAAAATAGAAACTGATGGCAGGATCATTATTCATCACATTCACGCATCACATTTATGGAGATTTAACAAGTCGGAAAAATTCGTCGCGTGTCTTTTGGTTGTTACGGAACTCGCCAATCATCACTGATGTCATTGTCTTTGAATTAATCTTTTGAACACCTAAAATTGGAAGAGATTGTTGAATTTTACTATTTTGGGTTGAGCTGATTCATCTAGTGAATAATGATGGAACTAATCCAAAGCAGGTGAATCCCAGATAAAGTTTTACTAGATGTTTGAAAAGCATGAGTTACTTTAATTCTTGGAAACTTAGAAAATTACAAGTCATTAATCTTTACTAGCTTTTGTAGAAATGATATTTTAAAGTATGGAATTTCCACTCTGATTCTCATTCCTAGTCATCCTTGTTGTGTTAATTTATATATTAACAGGGAATTAAACCTGATTGAAAATCGTGGAAAAAAGATAAAGTCATCAAATTAGGCATAGTCAGAATGGTATAGTTTAAGGACTCATAACTGTCATTTATAGATCTCCCTAAAAGGGGGAGATAGCTAGCCATTTGCTTGATTGATCTAAGATTAAATCTTGTGTTCACAATTTGAGCTATTGTCTAAACTAAACCTTGTATTGACATAAGCATTTTGATATCTTGGTGAGAATCGAACCCACGTCTTCACAAAAGCTGGGTTTCAAATATTCTATCAATCGCATAACCACTTGAGCCACAGATGTCTAAGTCTAGCACTGGCTGATTCGCCTCTATATGGCTTGCTACTCTAGATTCTACTATGCTCGGACATCACACAATCTCCTCAAATTTTCCATCCACCATAAAATAATATTCTAATAATTTTTTAATACTTTCCTCTCATCACCATGCACTGAAATAATAATAATGATGAAGAAATAAGAAATCGTGAATTAAAATAGAGTTCAATGTCAATGGCAAGTAGTGGTTGAAATTATAATATTTAAGGTCAAATTCAAATTTGTATTCAATTAGATAATCTGAAATTGTTAACTTACCATATGAGCAGCCTCAATAATCACTCCTACGCCTAAAGGATTTAATGCTCTGTCAATAGCTTCGGCAATTTCTTTTGTCATACCTAAGGATTGGAAATTGAGAGTTAAAAATTGAAGCTTGAGGAAATAAGGCTAATTTTTTGGGGTTTTCTTCAACCTTTAATTAAGAAGTAAAAGTTTTGTAGCTTAATAAAAGCACCTCGTTATCTTTAAGCTGATTGAATTGAATTCTAATCTACATGAAAGAAGCCTTTGAACAGTATTTCTCAAACTATAGTCCGCGATAAACTTCAGCATCGCCAAAACCTTCAAATTAACTCATAAGTTTAGATCTTTAGACAACAAACGGCGTGGAACTGTTCAGAACTGATCAAAAATCGTTTCATCAATTCAGCACCTTTGATTGATTCCTTTGGGCTCGTTCACCTAATACGTACCTATGGGGACGTTCACTTATGACGTCCGAAATTAACGATCATTTCCTGGAATTTCTATTATTTTTTTTCTTGCTGACCCCCCCCCCCCCCCCCTGGACGTCATAAATGAACTATGTTCTTTGTGGAAGGTTTTATAATATTAAACAAATTCCCAAAATCCTCATATTTATTTTAATATCGTAACATTTAATCGACCCCCGACACTTTCACTTTAGCATTGAATTATTTTTCTTCAAAAATCTTATGAAACTTACGTTCTTGAACTTGAAGTCGCCGAGAGAAAATCTCAACAATTCGCGCGAGCTTAGACAGTCCAATAATTTTATTTCTTGGTAAATATCCAATCGAAACTTTTCCAAAAAATGGAACTAAATGGTGTTCGCACATGCTGAACATATCTATATCCTTGACAATGACCATCTCATCGTGATTTTCCGTAAATATTGCATCATTAATTATGTCTGGGGGATGTAATGGCAATTTAATGGATATTTAATTTTCCTATAAATTAGCAAATGTTACCAGCCAGTGATTCTGTATATCCTTTAGTGAAAAACAAAAGAGCTTTTGATGCTCTTTGTGGGGTTTTAAGAAGTCCTTCTCTCATCGGATTTTCACCGACACTTTCGAGTATAGACCGATAGTTGTTAGACATTTCAGCAACAACAGCATTTTCTGCCTCGTCCTCGCACTTTCCATTCTTTAGAGACTTTCCGTTCGTCATTTTACTGCTGTGCATGATGAAGGATTTATTATTATTGTTAAAACTTTCAGTCATTTTATTTAATATTTCTTTAAGATCACTTCACTTTTTAAAGCTTCCGAAGCTGGCAACGATCTAATAGAAACTGAATCTTGTTCTCATAGCTTTATATCTTAACAATTTTTTTTTAAATATATTAATATTGTATTATTATTCTCACTCTCCAAAACATTCAGTCAGTACTCAGTATTGCACATTTAATACAAATATAAAGGAAAACCTTGAAGTCTACTGTGCTTTAATGAAATGAACTTAGACATGTCCAAGTACAAAAAAAAAATAATTTAACACACAGATAAGTGCTTTAATGTTGAACGCATAAGTGCAAAAATTGCATTATACACGCACATTCAGTGTTCATTATTCGCGCACTTCCAGTTTCGCGGAAATAGATCTGATTTTGAGTTAAACGTGATTTTATTTGTGAGTCTTGCTAGTGAGATTTGATGATCAGTTTGGGATTTTCAATGATTTGGTAGTATTTATATTGACGCAAAGAGATTTTGGAAGTTCAAAAAGAAATTCTTATAAGAAGTCGTGCATAGAGTTTGGGGAACCGGTGACAGAAAACAGTGGTTTTCCAAAAACCCTGCATAAATGATGTGAAGAAAAATTTATTGTTTTGATCCGACACAAACTTCTATTTAACCCCCCCCCCCCCCCTCCTCTCTTATTCATATAAGACCCCCTCCTCGTTCAAAATATATTTGATGTTTAAAAATCATACCCTTTGACAAAAACTCTTTTAGATCTTAAAATCAGTGTTCATATGTATCAGCTCTCGTTTCAATATTCAGCAGGCACAATGATTCAGATTCGGAAAAAATTTTCAAAAATTCCTTGTTCATAATATTTTTCCGACACGTTAGAAAATTGAAAATTTTTGTTAATTTCTCTTGATTTGATTCTTTTAGCATCTTCCACATAATGTTTTCGTTCATTGTTCAAAAAATCAGTCCTTTATATAAAGGATAAACATAATTTTTTACCAAAAGTTTGTAAAACTTTATCAAAAAATATTGTGCATGATCAAATTTTGTATGAAAATTTATACTTTGATCGCAAATATCTCGAAAATGGCATCAAACGGAATACTTCAGTAATACGGGAGATAGATTTAAGCTTAATTAATTGATTTATATAAGTTTCAGAGAGGTCTTTGGAAGACTTTTTAACTTTTGAATAGTTTAAGTTTTGTAAAAATACTCAGATTTCAATTGCATTTTTAAGACTTAATCAGCAGTTTTCTTTTGATTTGGTAGTTTCAATATGCAGATCTAAGCTTAATTTAGCTAACAACAGCTAGCAAGATAAGGAAATAAAAACTTAAAATAGAGAAAATCGAAGTTTTTTTTATAAACAAAATGTAAACAAATTTTTGTTGAAAATAAATTAAAGATTTCTGGAGTTAGACATCAAATTGAAGCGAGATATTTTCACTGAATATGCCTAAAGTTAAGATCTTTAATCTGGCATTTAAAAGATGTAGTTTAATTAATATGTTATTTTTGAATTTTTGAACATTTTTTCCGAATCTGAATCATTGTGGCAGGTTACAATTTATCCAGGTCTTTAAATTGAAGTAACGAATTCCATTTCCTTTATCATTCTTGCTTATTCATTCTTAACCCGTGTTCCTCCATATCAGATTGTCTAATCTCAAACTGCTGTTCTTAAGGAGCCAAACTATATTTAAACTTCTGAAAAATCACTAAGTTGCTGATAGGATTTAAACTTCGGAGTGTTCAAATTTAACATTAGCTTTCGTAATCCGCATCTTGCAAATTGAGGTACTTTAGCTTGAAATGAAACCAAAGGAATGACAAAGAGATTAAAATATACAGGAAAACACAATATTGGTCACAATGTAAATTGTGCAAATATCAATTGCACAATTTTGCACTAGTTCAATCAATTGAAATCAATCAAAACTTTAATTACAAATTGTATTACTAAGAATTTTAATTGAAAATTAGGCTCAACTTCCTTGTTCTAATCAATCTAGGGTCAACAATTTATACGATCGAAGAATTTTAACAAGGGTTGATGGCAGAATGTTAAAAATGCGCGCCATATCAAAGTAAGTTTTAAAGTTTTTTCGATCTATTGTTTCAGGTTCGTAGGCATTTTTGGGAAAGAGAGTGGGAGGGGGGTAAAAAAATTTAAAAATTTGCAAATAAATCACCAAATTATAAATCAACTCCGAAAAAGTGACTTATTCATCGAAAATGCGCATTAATCATAAATTTCGCACAACTCTTACCAGTTCCATCTAGACTCTACAATCTGTTTCATTTTTTTTTTTGCAAAATAAATACTTTTTGATTATCTCTATTATTAAACAGAATTAATTGAAGTTTTACGACAGCAAATACATGCACACTCATTAATTTTGGCAATGGAAGTAACCAATTTTGTGGTGATTTTTTTTTTCTGTTTCTCGCTCTCTTCTTATTGTTCAATGTTAAGAACACAACATTGTAAAGTGTTGGCGAGTGAGTCATAGCGGAAATAATTACTAATTTTTTCATTTTTTGAGGCATGAAAATATAAATTTTCAAACTCGAATGTCCTCACGCCTCGAGAACTTGCATTTGTTCACATGGTTCAGTGAATATTTAATTTATTTGTTCGCTATTGTGCAGTGCTGAGTCAATGATATCGGCGAAGTCAAATAATTCTTCGAACGTACAAAATGCTTCCGGTGATAAAGAAAATGAGTGTGAAGAGAAGTGCCATAAATATTAGTTCAATTCTAGAATTTAACGGAACCAAAACGTAGAAGAAAAAAATGAAAATTTTATTGACTTTTTTGGTTTTAATTGCTTGTAAAGCTTCACTGTCACTTCCAACAGCCACAGAAGCGAAAGGAATACTTGATGGGATAGTTCCAGGTGGAAGTACAACAACAACAGCTGCACCAGGATTAATTCCAGGCCTTGGACTTCCAGCACCTGTTAATAATCTTGCAAATAGTGGACCAATGCTGATTCTTGGGGGATTTCAAGCAATTGTAACTAAATTTGATCCAAGCTTAATACAAGGATTACCGGGATTAGCCGGCTTGCCACAATTGCCAGCCGGTAAATAAATAAATCAATAAAGTTGAGACAAATTTATTTATTTATTTTTAAACTAAAATACTATCTATTGTGTCGTAAACTTAAGTCTAGAGGCATTTCATTCAAATTAATTGTCTCGATTCTAACTGTTAAGTCACTATTATCAGTCCATTGCCTCAATCTAACGTTATCATCATAATATGAATATTTATTGTCCTCCAGATGTTCCTCATAGTTCATTTTATGATTGTCTTCCTCATGATAATACAATGTTTCAATTTTCTGTGAGACTTCATCACTATCAATGCTTTCATTGCACTTTAGCTCGTATTGTTGCTGAATCAGATTTTCATGATTAAACGTTTTTACATGTTTTCTAAGCGACGAAGGATCTGTGTAACGTTTATGACATCCATTTATTTTACAATAATAAGGTTTTGTATTTTGATGAGTTCGACTATGTTTAAAACGATCTGATGAGTTGCTATAAGCTTTTGTACATCCCGGAAAATTACATCTGTTGATATATTGTAAAGTTAAAGAATTTCATAATTAGTCGATAATGTTAAGTCATTAATTAAGTTGCGTTGCTGATTGACATACCTATATGGTTTCTCTAAAGTATGTGAGCGAATGTGAATTTTAAGATTCTCGGCACGTGAAAATGACTTTCCACAGTTCTCAAACGTACATCTATGTGGCTTTTCTTTTGTGTGTGTTCGGCTGTTTTTTGGAAGTGAAAGAAGAAATTGTTATCATCATTGAGTCTGGAAGGTTTCAAGTTCTCTTAAAATTGTGAGCAAATGTGCATTTATTTTAGTCGAGTTCTAGTTTTAAAGCTTTGAAACTTCATTTTTTTATTCAGACATTAATCCCCAGATAAAAATTTCAAAAAAACGGATTTTTAAAATTTAACGTTCTTTTCAAATTTAAATGTTAATGGAAAATTTCAAAAATTCAAGACCCTCGTCAAGTTCAATTTTTGAACTTTAAACAAAAACAATTCAAATATTTTTTGACTGTTAGACTTTTAATTTTTTTTACTCTTATCACTCAAAAATTTCCACTTAAAAATGCACTTTAGTCACTCGTATCGATCATAAGTTTTATCAAAAACCACTTACCAATGAACAAGCATTTTATATCGGGCATTAAATCCTCTGTCTGTGCGTACGCAGCCCTCCCATTTGCAGTAATATAGGTTATCTTTAGATACGCTACTGTGCATTATCGAAACGTGATTCGCAAGCTTCTCTAATGAGTCAAAAAATCTGTGTATGGAGAAAAAACAAACGTGCTGTTATGAAATTCTCAATTATTTAAAGCCGCAAAATTATTTTTTGTCTTACTTGTAACAATTTTCCCATCGACAGACATGCTCAATACTTATAATTTGTGTCTCATTAGCAGGTAAAATTTGGCAATTTTCCACTTTCATGATAACGGAACCTCGTCTTGATTGATCACCAACATTCGACGTTGTTGTTCCTAGATTTAAATTAGGAGATAGTGGAGGCGTAAGAGTGATTGGTGATAAGCTTGGTGGTCTGATTTTTGATGTCATTAATAATGTCTTAGGTGGTTCATAAGGTGGCGTTGCATATGGTGGTGGATGAAAGCACGGCAGTTGACTATAATAATAGTAAAGTGGAACTCCATTTATGCTCTGAATAAAGTCTTCAGTTTCGATCACCATTTTTGATTAATTATTCTAATTTTTTATAATTTTAATTTTCAGTCACAACAAAAAATGACTTAATTAATTTCTTTTTTATTTGTCTTTTAGAAACAAACTCCCGTCAGCTACTGAGCATTTTGCCTTAATTTTGAAACAATTTTATAATGCATGAGGAGAGTCTATTGAACATTCGTTCATTTCGTTATCAGTCTACTGATAAAGTTTCGGGTTTGCTGGGGGAAAAAAAAACCCGACAGACTTGTGACGGATTGTGCCTTATACATTCTATTTTTTGCAGCAATGTTAGATACCTGCAACTTTTTTTGTATTAATAATTATTTATTGATGTAGTCTAATCGTTGGCTGGAAGTTTTTTTTTTTATCAAAAAGGAATGACTGTCTGTAAAAATTAGATGTGTGATAGATGCATGATCGGAACCACATACATGCTCTTCTCCATTGCTTGTTATATAAAAAAATTAATTTGTATGCCTTACTCATTTCTCGTACTGAATAAGCAACTGAGTCTATGTGAGACTCACCTCGGTTGAACTCAAAACTGCTTTAAACTAGAATTTCAGACTTATCAACGAGATTCATTTTTTTTTTAATTCCCTACAGTTGGCTTGTTATAAATTCATCTCGTCAACATTATTATCATACCTACTTTTTTTATTTGGTTCAATATTTTGTTTTTGGGCTGTATTTGTCGACTTGAAAATGAGAGGCTCTTGAATGTATGTTGCATGATAGATTCGTGTGTGGTATTTTTTTTTGGGAAGCATTTAACTCGAGTGAAAATGTTGATATTGTGAGGACTTTGACTGTGTGTCTAACTTTTGATCGGTAAAATTGATAAACACGCCAGTGATAGGCTGATGATTAAACTAAGCAAAGGTCAGCATGTGTGACGCTAACCTTAATTAACTCCCTGTTTTATTCCTTTGTAAATTGCAATTTAGTCATTTCTGGGATGTATCAGTGGCATCAAACATTCAGGCTCCATTTAACTATAATCCTGAGTAGAGCTCAATATCAGTCAATACAGATTTCAACTTCATTATTTGAAAATAATGCGCTTCCAAGATTCTCAATCAATTACTTCCATTTCAACTTATTCCCACACTTGAATGATGGAATTTTTGTTCAAATTTATTTTTATAGACTAGGAAATACTCCACGTTTTTTTTAGGTGAAGGAATGAGCACTTAGTAACTTCTTTAATTATATTATCTGCCCCCACTAAAGAAAGATTATAATTTCCACTCGTGACGATGAAAAGAAGAGAAAAGGAGGCATTAATGCCGCCACATACTTTTTATAATATTACTGATAGTGTCTATTATGTTCCTTATTTGATTCTGAGATTGTCAGCACTTGAAAATTATGTAATTGATCATGACTTCTCCATATGCTTCCCAACCAGACATTGCATTAGCTTAGCCGGCAAAAAAAAATTTATTTCTAGTTATTTGGTCCGGATTTTTAATAATAAAAAAAACATAATAAACATATTTTTTGATCTCATGACCCAAAATATAAAGCTGATAGCTGTATTTTCGTCGAAACCAGAATTTATAATCGTTGTCCGATTGAGATTAATCACCTCGTAAGAAGTGAATCATTGACATTATTTTTGCTATGTTGGTGATTTAATTTGATTATTTTGGCTACATTTCAGTTGCTAATTGAGATCTGAAAATTGTTGAGAGCTAGAGCTGCTAAATACTGGAATATAATCAAAACTGTTTTGATTTTATCGCAAAAGGCATGTGTCAGACACAAAAGATATGAACACCTGTAATTTTCCATAAAAAAATGTGCTGGCTTAATTACAGTGTGGCTTAATCTTTTTTGAACCATGACAAGACTTCTTTCTTATTATTGATTTTAGACCTTCCATTTATGTTAAGAGTACTAAAGTTGCATTATTTTGAACCCTACAAAAGCTAATTTTATCATTTGTCGTACGGTTTTGAAACATTTGACTGTTGAAAGGTTCTCATATGAGAATGAAGGAATTTGTAGGGTTTCATTTATATTTAAATATAATTTATGAGGTTTTGAAACATTTTACTGTTAAACGGTTCAACAAAATAATTTATATGGTTTCATAAAATTTCAAACAGAATTTGCGTGGTTCTCATACAAAATTTGAATTCAAAAAAGTCGTTGAAAATAATTCAACAAATCTAATCAGTTTAATAGCTGAAGTCATTGACATTTGCAAACAAAGATAAACAAACTCATGACAATTACATTCAATAGAAAAATGACAAATTCCGTCAAAAGCCTTGCAAAAATCTTTTTCCACTTAAAATGTTAATAAATTAATTAAAACTTGATAATCTCATCAGTCTCGGAGACAAAATAAAATCGACAATGTTTCAAAAATAACAAATTTTCATAAAAAGTGCCTTAATTAAACTTATAAGAGCCTGCAACGTCAATGAATGAACGCCATATTCATAATTATTGTATATACAATCTCATTCAGATGAAACAAAAAAAATTAAACGTACTTCATCGCTATCAGTTGTTGCATGGTTGGGTTTAATAAAAACATCCAGCAAACAAACCGCTTTAAACTAGTAAACGCGAATCGTTCGTCTTTTTTTTTTTTTCATTTACTAAGCATATGGAGAGCAGCAAGGAATAACACTGTAAATTGTTCTTATCAATTTATTGATTGAACGTGCATGAATGTCTGGCTTGTTATCGCAAGCAACGAAAAAAAGTGTTGATAATAATTTTTTCGTATTTACCTTCCTCGTCCACAAAAAGATACAATTAAAACTTGTTTTTTTTCGGTAATAGACTTTAGACACTTATTTCTCATAACTCTTTACTGGTTTTTTCGTGAATTTTGTCATCAGACGGATGATCATGCGATAAGATAAGGTGTGTAAAAGTCAAATTCTGGCTTGCAATTAACAACGAGTGAACGACTAGATGATTCTATTTTCCCAGACATGTTGCACGAGCCGAAACAGTGATTCTAAAATTTTTTTTAGACTGTTATCAATGGCAACCCACTAAGATATCACTCAGGGTTGCATTAATCAGTCAGTCTATTTTGAAATCATCAATTGGCACAATCTCGAGACGACTCTTTTATGCTTGTAATTAAATACTTGAATTTTTGGACATGTTCTTAAGTCCCAGACTCGACAATTCCCCATGAACAGCAATTGAGCATTTCTAGACTTTTTATTTATCAGAAAAATGATTCACAGAAACTTTTCATTCACAAATAAAATTAAATACTTAGAAAACAACTCACCGCGATTGCCTTTCCCGACCAGCTTTATAATTTTTTTATTAAACTTCTTTCCTTCCGTTTCTTTTCTAATAGTATATTTGATATTTTTATTTTATGTTGATTGTAAGGCGTACAAATAGAAAATAACAATAGAAATTCTGATGTCATGTGCCGTACAACGATGAGTGAGCTAGCTACGTGGGGCCCTTCTTTTTCGAGAAAATATATGAAAAATTAATTTCTATTCATTTTTTTGGAATTCATTTTTCGTATCACTAATTATAGTTAATTCTCTGCAGGAGTTATCTCCCATATTATTCCATTTTCAGTAATATTAAAATACACGCCGTGATTCTGCTGATTTTCTGTTGTTATCTGCATCATGAACAAGTTGGGTGATACATTTAATAGTTTCAATGTCACATCAGGCTTAGTTGATCTATACATTGTTGCTATTATCTTTTCTGATAATTTTTGACTGGCTACACTCGACTCTGTTGTTCCGGTGTCTGACTTGTATCCCTCGCCACTCTTCTCACTGTTGGCATCTGATAAGCTATCACTTGATTCATTATTTATATCACGGAATTCGTGCATGTTTGATTGATTATCGCTACTTTGACCGGTTTTAACCGGTTCTTGTTGTTCGTTAATGCCTAATTCTGGAGATTCGTTAATTTTTATTTCTGGTATTATATCATGTACGAATTGAGTATTTAAGCACTTTGTTGAGCATGGATCAGGTTGGGATAGATCTTTAACAAATTTCTCTTGATTACGATTCTTAACATTTGATTTGAACGCATCTTTTGGAGCTGCATCTGCTATAATAGGAAATCTATGTTCCGAGTTATTTATAGCTGTCATTTTTATGTGCTCATAAATTTTACGCTCCTTAGCTTCAGTTTCTCCTTCAACATAATCTCTCGAATTTGTATATTGCTTAACTAAATGCTGTGGCAATGTATAAATGATTGAAACGTTGTATTTCTTAACGAGATCATCAAAGATGTTTAAATAATAATTAAGGAACATTTCTCTTGTCAATGGCTTTTCATAAACTTTTTCAAATACAAATGCTTCGTGGAAATAAAAGGAAAAGGAATCAATAACGATTAGAGACAATTTTGAGAATCCAAGAATCATAGCTTCAAGACATGACATATAATCATGGAAATTGCTTTCATTTTCTATATGGATTACTCTTAATCGCTTCATCAATTTGATTACTGTCTCTTTTACATCCTTTTCGTCATCAGCCTTTATGTATGTCTCGCAAAGATCAGAAAACTTTCTTGAATTGAAATTTCCATATGTATTAATGAATAGAGCCTCATTGTCTGGATTGTTCATTAGATTTTGGATAATAATCTCCATAGCAAGTATAGACTTTCCAGTTTTACGTCGTCCTATATGACAGTTGTGTAATTAATAAATTTCTTATCTATTTTAAAAAAATACGCGGGAAATTACCTTTAATTTGACAAATAGTATGATCACCACAAAAAACCTTTTCGAATATCTTTCTCAGCTTTACTTCCTTATCCTTCTTATCATTTTCAGCCTTATTAGCTTCACTGGCTTCATCTAATGTCGATTGCCTTCTTAAATCCCAATCTAATTCCATTTTTCTTGATCACAGATTTTTTTCACTGAAATTTTTATCACATTTTCTTATCAACAAATGATGCTTTTGTCTGCACTTTGTCCGTCTGTCTAGCTATCCCCTTCTTTAATTTAAGCTTTTTTGATGCGGATTTTTCGCTTATGATATGAGTGCTGTGTCTGGCTAGCAGTGGTCAAAAAATCAGAATGATTGTTAACAGGAGGATTAATTAAATTCATTTTTTTTGTCAGTCACGAGTGACCACCTCTAGACTAGTTGCTTTTGTGTGTGTGAATTAAATAGATTTTCAAATTCATTTTAGCTGTTATTTTTGGTTTGAAAATATTTTAATTTATTTATGTTTTTCTTCTCAAGCTAACAATTTATTTCATTGTTTTTCTCTCTTATTGAAATCACTGTTTATCGTTCTTAATTGTGTTAGGTTTTTGCATTAATAAGAAAATCAAAAAAATGTATATTTTACGAAGAAAGTTACTTAAAATCTAAACTTTACTTTGCAGTATTACTGTAATTAATTCTTAACTCATATAGATGATTGTTTTAAAGAGAAATAATGTCACATTCTTTTAGATCAAAATTTTTTATGTTAGGCATTTTTAATTAAATTCTGTCCACACATGTTTAAGGATTTGTATTTATCCTTGCATTGTGTAGGCATCAAGTTCTGCATTTAATTGGTCTAAAGTAACTTCTGTCTTCTTTGGTCCTCCACGTCCACTTCCAACTCCTCGAGTACCTCCTGAACCACCTCTACCTCTAGAGAATCCACTGCCTTGTCTGCCTCGTCCCCCACGAAATCCTATAAATTGAATTAACAATAGCTTTTAGTGATCAAATCGAATTATTAAGGATATTTTTTCATGCTTACCTCCACCGATCGGTTTGCGTGGCGATCTTTGGGTATTGTTTGTGGCAGGTTTAGGAAAACCGAGTCTAGTTCCTGCTTGCGGCACTTCTGATGTTGCTAACTGAATATTCATTGGACGGCCATCAAGTGGAACACCATTATAAGTCTTCATAGCTTTTAATGCATCATTGCGTCGTTCAAAAATGATATCAGCACTTCCTATAAATTGAGAACAATCAATAAACATGAACAAGAACAATCAAGCGATCGAAAAACGACCATGGTCTTGATCGATAACTAGTCGCTTTATTGATGCTAGAACTTACCGAGTGATCTACCAGATCTGTCATAATGTACGGCTGCTGTCTTTAAAGGTCCAAATTCTTGGAACAATTCATTAATATCTGTGTCGGATACGCTGAAATCTAAATTTCCGACAATGAGTTTCGTTGTACCACCGAAAACGCGAGATGTTGTTAATCCTCCTCCTGCTGCACCAGTTGTTTTTCGTACACCTTCATACATATCATGCTTCCAAGCGCTGTTTACATCACCCTAGAAATGGATTTTTGTTGGTTTTTTTGTGTCGATTTGAGCGTTGATTCATAAAATATATGATTTATCTATTTCATGAAGTGATTCCCAAAATCCAAAGGTTGAAGTTCATAAGGAATAAGCTATTGCGATGGACGTATATTTGTGTGAAATAAATTCAAGCTACTTTCTGCACTGAAAATCAATCCAATCTTCTCTAGGATCAATAAAAAGGAATTTTATCGGCTGTTTTTGACTCTATAAATTATTAGTATGATTAAGTGGAATATAATATGGACTTGTTTAAATGATAACTTAACGCGGCAATTATGGTTTTCTATATAAAATAATTCACTTGATTCTCTTGTGTGATAAAACAAAAAATCAATTAATTGTCCTTGATTTGATACTTATTGGGAGTTCTTTTTTGATGTTTTAACAAACTCCCAATAGTTATTATTCACAACAAAATTATAAAACTATTGAGTATGTCTCAAAATGCACAAATCAATTGCTTCAAAGTTCTCATTATAAAATTAATTCACTAATGAACCAAAATATCCACAAATATTGACTTTCTGAGTAAATATCGAGTTCTTTCAAAACTGTTCATATTCGAAGGTTGATGATCCATACAGAATATGTATTATTATTATTATTTCGTAAGTATGAGTAATATGCTCTCTCTTTCTTTCTCACTCATTGCGAACAACTTGTCTCACTCTCCCAAAAATCCTCCATCTTGTTTTTTTCCTTTAGAATTCTTTTTAGGACATTATTTTCATCACTTCTCCCTTCCAATTCTGATGTTTTCAGCTTACCCGTGTATATTTATTGTTTCTTGTGATACCTCCACGTCCTCCACGACCTTTCAAAACACCACCAAACTTCTTTGGAGGTGAATTTTTCTTAAATTGTCCTGGCTTGCGAGTTGTTCCTCGACTATTATTTGCTGGTCTTTTCTTGTTGCTTTTAATAATATCATCCAAACTCATTTCAATCTTATCCATTTTCATAATCTGTTTAGTCTCCTCGTTGTTGAATTAATATGTTCTATTTACTTCCTTTCCTCTTTAATTTATATTTAAATTGCTTCCGAAACTTCTTTTTGACGCGAGCGTGATTTTCAATAATGAATTTCCAAGGAAAAAGAACAATCCAGGGTAGTTCAAGAAGTTTCGGGCTGTGCTGTACCTGAAATTTGAATTTCAAAAGGTCGTTATACCACAGGTAGTTGCAAAATATTTTAAAATTGACAGTTTAACGTTATTTTGACCACGAGTTCATTTGATGACTGTATTTAAATCTATTCAGGTATAGATTTTATTTCCTATTCATAAACTTTTTCCACAATTAATAATATTTACATTGAGAATTCATCAGAATTAAGCTGATAGCTTGTTGTGATTTCTTATTATTACTGCAAATCTTGAAATCAATTTTTCGACCACTTCTATAGCTCTAATTTTTCTTACCTTATATGGCCCCAAAAATGCGTTTTGATTTCCTCAAACTACGATCATGCTTACAGCAACAAGTGCACCATTGGAAAACAACTTGTGTACGATCAAGTGAATATTTAATAGACTTTATAAATTAAGCAATACTCAAGAACCATGTCAAATGCAAGCGACTGCTCATCTTATTCATACAGTCCAGATTTTAAGAATTATATTTATGAGGATGGGGGATCAAGTTTGTTCTACATCAGAGCTCATTCATTAAAAGACAATGATTATAACAAAAATTCATTAAATCATGATCAAGATGAAATATTCAGGCATGAATTTAAGAGGATGAGTTTGAGGCAGAGGGATAAAGGAATCCTATCAAAATTGACAAATAAAAAGTCATCAGGATTTGAGTTTAAAGTAGTGGATAGGCAGAAGTATAGACATACAGATGGTGAATTAAAGGAATTAAAAGTTGGCAATAAATCATTGAAAACTGCTAATTTAAGCAAGTCAAAAAAAGGAGACAAGAGAAGCTTGTTTGAAATTTTATTCAATGCCTCGATCATTCCTGGACCTGACAATAAGAGATTGATAATTGATAGAATAAATACACCGAGTATCTTTGAGAAAGACTTGTGTGTTGGTGACTACATTAAAACAATTGATGGAGAAGTAATAACCACAGACAATATCAATCATGTGCTACATAAAATAATTATTCAAAAATCATTTAAAATTGTCGCACAAGAATCTTATAAGGATGACTATGATGCATCACAAGAAGAGATTAAGATCACAAAAATTAATGACATTGTGGCTAATAAGCAGAAACTGTTCAACCTCGGATCTGAAACTCATGAATTAATTTTCAGTCTCAACATTATTGTCAAAAATGAACAAATAACTGAAGATTCTGATGACTTTACGACTGTATTCTCATATCCACCAAAAGACAATAACTTCTTGCATAAACAGAAGGGATCATTTCTAACTCTAGCATCAATTTTGAAGGGTTCATTTGATAAATATCCGAATGTGACATCCATCAAAGTTCATAATACAACATTTTTCGTGACTTATACAATCAGGAACGGTGACAATGAGTTTATATTTCTTGGATTTAATTCCAATTATGCTGGATTGTTTGACTCCAAGCACATAACTCAAAACTTTGTTAAATTCCTTGACTACATCTACCCGAACTTTATTATCATCAATGACTTTGATCAACTAAACTCACTTTGTGAAATTGTCAAGATCCAATTAATCAGGAACCCATCTGAAGCTATAAATTTTGAGCAACTATTCTCATGTCCAAAATTTGTTCCTTTGCCTAAAGAAATAGTTTTGAGAATCAATGATGCTCTGAGTGAATTGGAAGCTATGGATTATAGGAACTGGAATGAAAGTTTGATGGAACTATTTGGAAAGTTTAATGTGATTGGTTCCTGTCTATTTTACAAGACATCTCTGATCTGCTCACATTTTAATGAATTGGATATGGAAAATGTTGAGCTTTTTGTACGGCAATTGTGCCTTAAATTTCTATATGAGATGTGCTATGTAAAAGAAATGGCAATTTGGCAAAGAGTTTATCCGAAAGAATATCAATCATATAACATTGAAAATGACTCAACTAAGAACAAGGTGTTCTTATTAATTGCAGCACGTGCTAATCTCATGATGTGTGTTTTACTCGAAGAAAATGCTTACAATCTTAATCCAGAAGTCGAGACACAAAGCTCAAACTATCTTATTTATTTTCTTGAAGAAATGGAGGATGTAATGGATCACTTGAAGGTTGTTGGCATTGAAAATTTGACAAAAATATGGATCAACTCAGCAAAGCGTCCACAATGTAAGAGTCCATTTGATAAAATTGAAAATCCAGCACATACTGAGCATCAACATTTGAGACAAATTAAGGAAGAATGTGAAGATGACGATGAGTCTGAAAAAGATTTAGAAAGTCATATTGACAGTCAAAAAAGTAGCAGTGGATTTGAGAATGAGGACACGTTTTATAAGGACTTTGCAGATATTGTCCCTCAAACTTTAACTTTTGGACCTGAAAATGTTCTTTACCATTTTACACAATTAGATTTTTCAGAAGGAATCATCTTAACAACTATCAATGATAATGCCTGTAAGCCTCCAAATGATATATTGGTTGATATATTCAGGAGAAGCTGTTTAAGTATCCACTGCGTGCTTCAAAATACAATACAATTTAATCAGCTGCTTTCTCGAGAAAATAAAATATCAAGCAAGACTATGATGCTTCCAAAAGAACAAGGGATGCTAATAGATCTTATTGTTGGGAAACAAAGGCTTAGTTTTTGGATAATTGGGCGTCTTTTTGGAACTAAAGAGTTGTACGTGTGCTACGACTCTAAAATTCCTCAAAATATGGTAGAAATTGCTTTTAGAATCGCACTTAATTGTATTGGATAAGTTCAAAATTATTATCTCCTTAAATTATGTAATAGAATCAAGCATTCCATTAATTTTAAGCCATTTAATAAATTTATGAAAGAAATAAAATCAACGGTTTTTAAAAATTCAAACCAAATCTGAGCGTCACGCGATTAATTCAAAAAGTCAACTGTCATTACTGGATGTTATTGTTTTGATCAATATATAAATTAATTAATTATCGTGTAATGGAGGGCTCATCAAAGGATAATAATTTACAAAAGGAGAAAGAAGAATGTGAGAAAGCAGCACAAGAAACATTTAACAGGATTTTAGCAGCATATCGTCAAGTAATTGACGGAATCAGGTAATATTTAAGTTTCTATTGTTTGAGACATGATTATATTGCTTAATTAACTTCCAGTGATAACTGCTTTGATGAAGTTAATAACATTGTTGCCAAAGAGACGAAAAAGAAACTTGATAGAGCTGGGAGTGCATTTAAGGAGCATCTGTTTGGATTGATTAAAGAAAAATTCACAAAAATCTGGAGAGATCGAGAGATGAACCTTAGTGTTGCTATGCTGGAAATGGCAAAAAGGAACTTTGTGGTCAAAGAAAAGTGGAGACCTACAGACAAGACAGCAGATGAACAATTACGTCCGCATTTAGGAATTGTATTGACCAAACAAAGAGACATGCTGATGAAGCAAATTGAGGAACAGAATGAACAAATTGCTGTAAGTTGTTTTAATTATGCTGTAGCTGATTATATGTTATTAATCAATTTGTGAATAGATTGTTGACTTTAAAATTGTACAGAAATATGTTGCATGCTGTAGCATTGAAATCTAATGATTCTTTATATCCCAAACAGAAACTAATACCGTGCGTCGAGGAGTCACGACGAAGATTTAGAGCCAGGATGCAAAAGAAGACAAACCTAGCAATTGAAATCGAAAATGATACCAAACGAATGGAAGAGTCTCAAAAGCGAGTTGAGTCAATGATAGAAAAATTATAATTAATGAACAAAGATATCAATTTTTAAGTACAAATCCTTTATTGTAAAATATTCTTCTCGATCTTTTTATATAACTTACTAATGATTTAATAATAAAACAAGGAAACAGATTTTTTTTAAGTTTTTTAAAACAGTGAAATGTATGTAGTATAGCGACTAGTAAAATATGTGAAAAATTTTTAATTATGTATAAGATAATATTAGGACGGTATAACTTTCAATCATATTTTTTTCTCGAAAAATTTATCAACAAAAGAGAATAAGAAATAACATAATCAAGACATTAATAATTATTATTTACAAATTAATTCATTTTATATATCTGTTAAGCTAATTTCTCCTGCTAGAATTAATCAAATATTTGCAACAATGTGTCAGCAAGTGCTTCTCACTCGAACTGTTGTGATGCATGTTATTGCCGACTTCTCTTGTGTAGATGTCTAAGCCATACTGTCCTTCTTCTGGGAAACTAAATTAATGGTTAGAAATTTCATTAGAATCAATAGTTTTAAATAGTAGGTTCGTCGATTTTATTGCTGGCGTATCCAGAAAATTCCAGTACAAAATTTTCGAACGACCCAAATTATAAGTATACCGAACGTACAAAGAGCATGCTCAGAAAAGTGAGCATATAAGTGAGTCTACTCAAAAATTATACTCATGCAAGCTCATTCAACTGAGCATGCTCAGGAGTTCATTACGAATGTACTCACTTTATTTTTTTGCAAAAAATTTATAAGCTCACGTGAGTACATTCAACGAGTGTACTCATGAGAATATTAAGAACATACTTATGCGAATATACTCGTATAAGTGCACTTACTGAACATTCTCATAAGAATATTAAGAACATACTCACTTCTGTGTGACATAATTTTTTTACGTTCTCATATGAGTGCACTTACTGAACATGCTTATGGGAATATTAAGAACATACTCATGGGTATTTACTCTTCTGAATACACTTTTTTAACATACTCATGAGCATATAATTAACATAATTAATTATTAATTAAAAATGTATTCGATGTTCGATTTTAAGCTGGTCGACATTTTTGAAAATGTCGACTTACATAAAAATGTATTCTAAGTTTGATTTTAAGTTGGTCGACATTTTTGAAAATGTCGACTTACATAAAAATGTATTCTAAGTTTGATTTTAAGTTGGTCGACATTTTTCATAATATGTTCTCACGATCGTGCTCTGATCAACTCAAATATTTCATAAAAATATAGTTCAATTAAGCAGCGTATAGAACTTCAAAGAACTTACTTTGCCTGTAATAATATAATAATTTAAGTATGTGTTTTGCCATATAAAAATTATTATATATTTACAGAAAATTGCTCCAAGGAAAAGTGTGAGGTGACAGAAATTAAGCAACGCAATAGATTTTCTACAAGTATGGGTGACCGGTTTTTAAAACTTCCTTCTTTAAGTATTTGAGATAAAATGTTAATAATAAATTCTAAACATTCCAAAATTATTCACAGAATTATCCTTATAAAACACAAATTTAGCTTAATTAATTTTTTAATTTTGTGACTTTAACTGATTGCACTCATGCATGTGCTCAGATGAGCATATACTCATAAATAAACTCACTGAGCATATATCTTTTGAGTATCTTCATGAGTATAAGCTTTTTGAGTATGTTTATGAGTATATGCTCTTTGAGAATATTCATAAGTATATTCAATAAAAAATGTTGCATTAAAAAAATGTTGCTTGTGGCATGTTGCCTTCTCATTTGAGTATGCTCATGAGTTTACTCAGTGAGCTTAATGCATGTCACATAGGAATGTGCTCACTGAGCATACTCAAAAAGGTACCGTGATCGCATTACTTTAATGTATGAAATGAGCACATTCTCACAAAAGTTTGCAAGCTCACAAATAATGTGCTCTGAGTATACTCATTGTATGTTCGGGTATTTATCTTACTTGATTGTAAATGTCACAGTATCATCGACGACATTGTGCTGAACAAATTTGGACAGTTTCTTCTCTTCGATTCCATTTTTATGTAAAGTGGCCATAAAATCTGTTAAAGCGCGAGACATTCTAAACTGTATCTCCAACACACGGCTAGCAAATATTAAAGGTTCCTAAAAAATAAATTGATAATAAAATGATTATTAATATGCCATACTATGTCAATTCTCTTAATTTATTTACCTGATGTGTACTGGGAACCAATCCGAATAAGCGTGTAGCTTTAGTTGGACCCCATTCGCCCGAGGCACAGTCAGGCAAAGGAACCATTACAGTCTGTAACTCCTCACAACATATCTAGTAATGGAAGAACAATCAAAAAGTATAATTTTAAAGTCATTACTGTGGATCGTGTGGAAATGAATAATTTATGCTCACTTTAAATTTACAAACTGATTTAAATTTCATTGGTTCGCCCGTCAAGTATTCTTGCGGTGTAACAGCATTAGCAAAAATGTCCAATAGAAAAGCACCGGAGCATGGAGCGTGAACACGAAATGCAACAATATTACCAATAACTGATTGCATAACGAATCTCTTTAGTGATACAGCATCGAAAGAGTCTTCATCGCTATCATAAAACTTTAAGTTGTAATGGAATATTAAACAGCTTTGCATATCATTAGGCCTTTTAAAGAGATGTAGGAGAGGAAAAATCAATAAAATTTAATTTGTTTACATGCTTTTTATAGGATTAAAAATAAATAAATAGAGCTTATCCATACATGGCTATTCTAACAGTTGCTGCTCCAGTATCATCTGTGTAAACAACAGCACCGTATCCTTCATCAGCAAAATGTAGACCATATCTGAAGAATAATGATCGTACAAATGGTAAATTTTCGAATTCCCGTAGTGAAATTGGTCGCTTGAGTAGTTGCCATTCCTCTTGTAACGGGAAGAATTCATAAATAAATTCACGTGGATCTGTCAGGAAATAATGATCATCGTATTCGTATCTCAAGCTATCATTTTTGCCTTTGCTTGTTTTTGGTGCCTCCTTGGCATTTACTCTACATTCATAGAAATAGATCGTTAAATGTTATCTGGCATGTGATGACAAAAGCAATACTTACAGATGACGAGCTCCCCAGTTACACTGGACAAATCGCCAAGCACCAGCAACATAAACAGCATTCCAAGAATTCCTAAAACGTGAATCCTGAAATTTGACACCAGGCTGGTATCCAGCACTTTTTGAATATCCTTTAATAACAACACAATGAAGACCAGCATATGAGCAAAGTCGCTTAAAAAGCACATGATAACTTTCTGTGCCATATTTAATACCACGAAGTAAACCCATTGGAGTGTCACCACGCAAATCATCGTCAAAATGCATCGTATTCAAATTTTTCACAGTTATCCACCGGAAAATTGTTCTCGCCTTTTCAACATCACTTGTGCAGTGAGCAATTAATTGTCGTACCAAATCAGTAAATGTCTTCTGATCATTCTGTGCGACAGATATAGCAATTTGATCAACATCATGGAATTCAACTGGATCGGCATATATTTGGAATTTGCTAAGTAATGGCGGTGATGGTTTCGGTGCAACTAATGGATACTCTGCTGTATTAGGATACTCATCATCATCTAAAAATATACTTTCGCTTTGCATATATTCACTACGACGCGCACTGATCAATTCCAACATCTCGCTTGATTGCTTATCCACCAACGCAGCAGTTTCTGACCGTTCACTCTCAAGAATCTTTCTCGTTAAGCTTTCTTTTTTCTTTGTTTTACGTAGCGTCATATTTTTCTCTAAATCATCTTTCTGTTGTTGGTGGCGTAGCGTTAAAACGTTCTGTTCATCGCGCGATCTTTTTGATGAGATTTCCTTCTCAAATTTGTGTGTTAAACGTTGCAATTCACGCTCCCACTCATCCTGTATCTCATTTTGCATTCTTCGCTCCTCATCTTCACGTTTCTTTGCAAAACGTCGATACAAATCGTCTTCTTCTTTGCGATGCTTCATCTCCAAGCGAGCTTGTTCTTCACGTGCCTATAAATAAGCATAATTTGAGATTATTAAGTGATGTAATGAATTTTTATGCATCTTTCGTAATATTGAGTTTAAAATTCCAACCAGGCTTAAGAAGTGTTCATAAATTATGTCTTTTTCATTAGTTCCCTTTCTGTTCGTAAATTTATTAGATCAGGAAGATTTGGAAAGCAGACACTCAATAGTAGACATCACAAGTGAATGACCACATAATAATGTTGATGCTGCTTATTTGAAATAAATTTAAAGTCATTAAGTCTTGATATCTTAATCTCTAAAGATCGTTAAAATATTTTATCGATGTGATTTATAAAGCAAACGCTCCTTGAAAGTGCGTAGTCGCATTAAATAGATGATATAAATTTTTATTGGCATAGAAAAAGACATCATTAGCCACTAATGTGTGGTTTGATGCTACCACCAAAAATTATTTTAATCGTATGCATCAATCAGAAGAAGCAAGTTAAATGGAGGAAGATGTCAAGGCTTTATATTTACATCTCATGTATTTTTCATAATCTGATCTACTCGTAGATATTTTATACATGCATAGTGAGTCACAAACATTTTTACGTCATAATTAGTGAGACATAGGTGAAATCTAGCGACAATAGCTGATATTTGAACAGATTTATTTGCACAAAAAGTATCAAAATTGTCATAGAAAACTATGAAAGCATTAAGTTACACATATCTTAACAATTAATGAATGGGAACTTTCGATTTTAAGCTCCATCAAAAGCCAATTCATGAATAAGTACAAACCAATAATAATCAGCTGAGTTGTGTATCATTAATGCATTCAATGAGTTCTTTTAAAGATTTATCTCCAATTTCGTTGCCTGAATTGAGAATAATGACGAGTTAAAAAGAAAGCAGAGCTCAGAATCGTTAACAGATACTGAAACTAGAGAAGACTATAATAATAATCGAATAATGTTTTTTGAAATTGCTTGAAAATTACAGTGTTAGATGCTTATCGATGTGGTATTGAAGCTAAGATTGAAAAACATATCTGCTGTCATTATTTTCAACTTTCTGTCTTATGTGGAGTTATTGTAGAAATCCCAGTAGTGAGCTTTTGGAAGATTTTAAAGGAAACATGATATTAGAATATTTGGAATCTCCTTTAATGATGTTTGACTTTATTGTTTTAAAGAACAAGTAACATCGAAACTTTTATTTCGAAACACTTGAAACACTTTCTAGAATAGTCCACACCTATACCTCCTCGGGACTAATTTACCAGCCCAATTAAAGATGTTTTATTTCCAATTTTGACATAAGCTAAACCAATCTTCTTCCATTCCTAATTCTGACACAATTTGTCACAATAATTTGTAACCAATGCCAGATTCTTAAATCGATATCTATCCAACCCTGACGAGATTATCTTAAAAATCTATAAAATTCCACAACTTTTGACCGATTCATTTATGCATAAATTTTTCGACATTCTGCCATTGGCTATGACTATATAATCTTCTTTATTTTATTATCCATAAATGGCAAGAAAATTTTTTCTTTCATTATTTTCGTCATTACTAAATTAGGTCATGAAATGAAAGAGACTGAAGCAGGTATTAGGAATTCTAAAAGCGCATTGTCTTTTGACTTATGTGAACAAGAGTCATGAAATGCTGATTAATGTCAAGCGACGAAACAATGGGAAGCTTGTGTAAATTCAGCTAGTCATCAAATGGGCCAAGCATTTTAATTGCAGGAATCGCTAAAAGTTTAAATAATCAAAATAAGTCTTCAATGTGTAGCTTGTGAGTGCTAGGGAGTGTCAAATGTAGGTAAGAAGGTTTTCAGCATAAGATCTGGTAATTGCGGAAAAATCCATGAAACTCATCACGACTCATGAAATAACAAATTAATTTAGGTGGAGGTTGCACTTGATAACTTGAATACAATTTCCTAACGCAGCTGGAACAAATTGAGTGTAATAAATCTAACAGCAATTGTTTTCTTGCTGAATTCAATCCATTGACTTATCCACTAAATCTTTGGCAAGGCAAAATTTACTATTGAATATTTCATTATTTATTTATTCAACTTTAATAATGTTTATAGAGAATTAATCATGTACAAATTTATTCAGTAGTCTGTCTACAAACTGAATCAAGTAAGAGATCATAAAAATGTTATATATGCCGATCAAATTAATTGACTAGGCTTGAATGAAAAATTTCTTTCTACTTGTAAAGAGATGGAAGACATATAATAAAGGAACCAACAAAAATCTCATTTTGGCAAACTAGCGGTGTGTCGAAATTGATTGTTGGAAGCAAAAACACATCCACCTCCATTGATATTCATTTATTATAAACATATGGCGTCAAGATCACAAGTAAAAGTTTGTTTAAACTAAAATATCTCACATCCACGCTATTTGAAGCAGCAAGAGTCCAATATGATTCTAGGCGACAATTTCCGCCCAATCACTTCGATAATAATCTCATTATAGTTTCATAATTTTTTGTATTTTATTTTATTTCATTATTTTTTATTTCTTCTCAAGCACAAGTGCACTTTCGGACGCATTTTCCAAAGTCGAGGACACTTGAGCTCATTTAATTCGTCTGGTTTTTCTTTAAAATTTGATTCAAATTATTTTTGTGTGATTTTTGACGTTTTCGATAAGTTGAATGTTTAAAGTTTCTAACCTAAATCAGTGTTTCTTAATTTTTATTAAAGTATGGGTATATTAGGAAGCAAACATTACGGACTTCTTAATTCACAATTTTATAAAAGTTTTCTTAAAATGGGAATTTAATTATCTTTAAGGAAAAATGCGCCCACATTCACACAATTTTCCGTATATTAAAGTGAATATTGATCGAATGATCAAGTGAAACAAGCCGAAGAAAGTGAAATTGCAGCATTTTCTTCTTTATCTCACTTTTATTAATAAATTATTCTCAATTCAACAGATCTTACATACTTGCAAGTAATCAAGAAATGAAATGGAAACTGAAATCGATTAATCGGACAAATGTACTGAATTTATCATATTCATTAATGCACTATCATTGTGGTGATAGTTGCACGCATTTCCTCATGTTATTTTCATCATGATATGGTATGGTTTTGGTGAAAGAAATAGTTTCATGTTGTGGATTGTCATGTTTGAGATATATACTTCTATTTTTGTAAATGATATGTGTATTTTTATTGAAATGTTTGTGATTTGATTTTTGATCCAATTTATTTAATATGTATTGCATAATAGTTTCTCTGTCTCTTCTCTTTAGCGTAGCCAGAGCAACCTGAATGGCAGCTGACTTAAATGAAAGTGAATTTCATTGACTTTATAAAAGGAATGAAATAACGAATTTGAAATTTTCTGCGTCATTTAAGAGATTTTTAATTCTCATGTAACTTTTTATTTTCTTTAATTATAATTATTGACCGTTTTCAGCATTTATGTAACATGCTTATTCATACATATCAGTGCTATTTCCCCACAGCATTCTTTAAAAAGCAGAAAATTCGAAACAGTTTTATGCTCTTTTATTAAATAATAATTATAAATTTTCAATAGTATGATTGAATTTTGCGGAAATTATTGTAATGTGAATTGTGAATCTGTGATTCCTTTGAGCGGAATAATTATCGTCTTAAGCTGGAAAATGTCTCGTAATAGTCGAGGGGATTTAGACGCAAATTTTTCCTGCAGATTTACAAAGTTTGAGCGATTAATTAGTAAATGACGACTCATTTATTAATTAAGTCACAATAATTTTGCATTTTTTGTTTCATATTTAGTGAAGCTTTCCAGGAAGTTGATAATCGTTTGTCCAATATTCAAAGAAAATATCATTTGTTCATTTTATAAGTTTATATGCATATCTTTATCCTCATTAACATGATCATAAAATTTCTGTTTTTATCGGATGATTCATACTGATTGGGATGTTTTTCGGATATGAGAGTTTGTTTACATATCGCGAAGCTAATTGATTGCTCTTTGACAAAACCTGCTTTTTGAGATAATGATGGAATAATCAAGGGTCAGACACTCCAAAAGTATTGTAATGTATTGTACAATACTTTACAATACATATGAAAGTATTGTAAGTATTGTAGTTTTTACAAGACAGTTTGAGAAACATTTGTCATATGAATTTGATTATAATTGACGGTTTTTATGTAGTTTCTCGTGTTTCTTTACATTTTTTGAACCAAAATTTGATGAAAATACATAATTAGCAATTTTGAACTAAACATTATTAAGTTTTAATTGAAATTTTATAGTTCTTCAATAATATTCAGTCTAAAACATAAACAAATATTGTAAAAATATTTGTATACAAAATTTTTGGTAATAAAGTCATTTTTAAAATTGTCAATAGCAAAAAAGTATTCTGGCTCGAACAAAGGCGATATAACGTCAGATGCAGCCAAAAATATCAAACATTATTAACGAAAACATAGATAAGATGAGAGTATTAGACATTAGTCTACTCATATTAGAGGAATTTTAACGTTTGCTTCAGTTTTATAGAGGTAACGCCGAGGTTTAGTTTTTTTTATAGCGCTTTAAGTCATATCATAACCAAATCATAACATTGCTTTGCCTCGATTTACATTTTTCATAAGAAATTTTCAGTGAATTTTCCTGAAATGATATATATTTTCGTTTTAACTAGGCATTCACGATTTCCCGGACCCAAAAAATTATCGGGAACTGGACAAAAATTTAAACTCAAATATCAAACATGCTCCAGGAAATTTGGAAGATTTTTTTGTGATTAAATGATGAAACTTTTCAATTGAGATAATTTGACATTAAAATTTTTTGGATAACTATTTTTATGCATCGAGTTTCTGTTTCAAAAATTTCGAAAACAGGAAATCGTGAAAGTCTAGTATCAACTTTAAGAACTAAAAAATAAGAATCATTTTGACAAAGAAAGAAGAAAATATACAGTTTTATATTGAAAATATGTATTTTAAAAAAAAAAATGCTATAAAAAACATTTGATAAGTTTGTT